TCCGTTTCGCCACACTGTTGTGAGTGGGCTCTCCTTTTCACTTCGCTCATCAGGAGAATATTTCAACTCGATCGCTTAAACCAACGAGGGATCTTCTCCTCCCTCTCATCTGGCTACCGTCTGAAAATTTGCGATTTCTGCCCCGTGGGGAGGCTTGAGGGAATATGGTGGGCACCGCTCGAGGAATAAAAGTCAAACACAATTGTACCTACTTCGACGCTCAAGTGTCTATCGAAGATCCAGTGACATGCATGCGTAAGAGTGTGTCGGTATCTAGTACATTATTGTCGAGCGAACTGCTGCAGTAACGCATGCAGCCGAGTCGGCTCTATTAGGCTGAGTGGAAAGAGTAAATTTTTCGATCTTCAAATCGCATTGATTTCAAGCTTAGAGGGCGGGGTCGTCTCAGAGATTTGATGGATTACGCTCGTTCGAGGATCTTACTGCTTCTCGATGCAAGGAACGAATCGTGCTGCAGGGTGTTCTTTTTTCTCCCCGAAACCAGTCTCGTATGCTCATCCTTTTTAGCAACCACTTCCCTCAGTTCGCTCCTGATAGCTCCGTGCTTCCCAAGTAGTCACCTTCATGTCGGAGCCGGGGCGCCCTCGGCCCACCATCGGATGATTTGAATCTCTGGGATTTCGACTTTGACGATAACACAAAAAAAACTATTGCTGCAGCCCCTCCTACGAGGACTGGGCAGTCGTAGGTTAGATCAAGCTCATTTCCCGTTGAATCGATGCAGAACTGAGTTTTTTTTCTCGTCGGATTCCACGACGTCTCAAAATGGTTCCCGCTCGGGGACAATCTGTACAGGAACGTGATTTCCTCCTGCGGTCGGCTACCGCTGCCGTATTGTTGTTAGAAGAGCGGAGCTTGTTTGTGTTTTTTTCTGCCTCGCGCGACCCTGCCTGTTTGTGCTCTGATTTTTTCCTCTCCCCGGTAGCAATTACTCGATTTACGTGTCTTCAGGTCTCGATCGAGGGCCGACGAGGAAGTGTCTCCAGGAAGCCTGTCCCCCCATCCTTGCATGCAGCGCAGTCGGTCAATGAACGCAAACTCTACGGCCTTCCGTCCAGCATTAAGCCGGGCATAAGCTGTAGTCCCCCGTGAAGGGCTTCTGATGAACACCGTAGAAGTTCGTCAACTCGTCGGCCTGTTATCGTTTTGCGGTGATGCGTATTTGCGACACCCTCCGCTATCAAGTGAATGGTGATGATGATTATGGTTGTTGCGGAGATGGCGAAAGCCGGAGGGGCGGCGACGGCGGCAGCAGCAGCAGTTGGTCCGCTTGCTCCTAGAGTTGAGTGAGTGTGGAAGCCTGCCGCCGCGTAAATGATTTTTAAATCCCTCCCTTGAGAAGTCGAACAGATTTCAGAAACTCAGCGCAGAGAAGTCACTCGCTCATCAAAAAAGTCATTTCGACGCCCCGTTTTTGGGGACGAGGCGAAGTTGCTTTGGCGACGACGAGGAAAGCGAGAGTGAGAGACGGGGAATTATTATTTTTTCAAATCTCGTAGTCACGCTTAACGGATTGCTGAGTTTAAGCGCCACAACCGTGGCCGCAGCTTCCACTCGCCCCGCGGGAGCAAGGAGCGGCAGGATTCGCAGACACTTATTATTCTCTATTCACTATGAATCAAGGAAACTGCGGAACCCTTTCTCCCGGGCTTCTGCTCGCGTAGGGGAAATAATCACGCGGTGCCTTTCTTTCCCATAACATTGTCTGCCGAAACTTCGGAAATTCGATGTTTCGATAAAAAAGCCGAATAATTTCAGCAGTCTGACGTCCTCGTCTCTCTTTCCGCTAACATGGATGCAACACCGTCTAAGGAGCTCGGGAGCGCCAATATCTTTGCGCGTTGAAATCGTTCCACATGGGAATTGTCTGAGGGGGACGTCCCTCGTTCGGACTGAGAGCGCTGGTGCATGTGTGCCTTCCCTGCTTATCGCAGTCGGTCGAGACCTGGTCCGCCGCTGCTCTCTCGGAACGTCCGAGAAGCGCTAGCGGTCGTCGCTGTCGCGGCGGTCTTCTCGGTGTCGCAAGCTGTCCCGGGATTGGAGACCGTTTCGAAAGCGTCGAGCCGTGCAAATGAGAATAAAGTCGTTCAATTTGGAAGCTGGCACACTCGACCATTCGTTCGAGAGGGCGGATAGTTCCACGACAGGCTCTAAAGTGTCTCTAAGTTTTTGAAATTCGCGGCTCGATGTGAAGCGAAACGTTCTCCGTTAAGTCATCTCGGCCGTACGGAGGAGCTCTACCTCGACTGGGATTTGAGTTTTCAAATGGAAATCGATTGCATTCGGAAGTCTGGAGATGATACCGTATAGAGGATCCAAGGCTCCTCATTCTGCCATCCCCGATGGTGGCTCGCGTTATCAGCAGGGACCCGCTGCTTATACCAGCGCCAGCGTGGGGTCGAAGGACTTCTTCGTCAAGGAATTTCTCCAACGTAATTCTCCATATTTTATGCGCTTTTCGAGGCGTTCAGAATCATTTCTGCTGAAAATTCCCCTTGCTCTCGCCGCGTCCGCCGTACCTGGGAAATTCGGTAGAAACCTTCGAAACCCTCAGAAATGAGAAATCTGCGGAGCACAACTCTCGCAGAATTGGGTCAAGATCGAATCGAGAATACAGAGACGCTGGGCTTTTATATAGAAGGCTGTCTCATCCATTCGCTCGTTGGGGAAGAAGACGACGGAGCGTGTCGTTCTCTATTTGTGCTCTACTTAGGCTCAGTTTAAGGAAAGTGCATCAATAAACAAGGGACCATTGCAAAACGGAAACGCCTGACGGAGCCAATTTCCGGCCACGATGTTAACAGCGGACCAACTCCCGCTCGAGCACCAGCAAATGCTTCACTCGAGCAACTAATGTACTCAAGATGGCTCGTGATTCAAGCATACGACGACAAGCTATCGAGTGAACCGACCGGCCTATTCAAGCATCACCGACATTGATTCATGCCTAATAAAGTAGTCCACCGATATCCACTTAGCCCCGATGACCGTGCCCTGACCGGCACGCGAATATCGAGATCCGTGGCAGCAACGCAAAAGTCCCTGATTCACGACCATGAGCCGTTCCGAACAGATCGATTCAGAGCCTGCCGGAATTTCCCCAGCTCAATCTCTGGGACAAATTTTGGGAGAGAGGGAACGCTGACCAATGTGCTCTAGGAGTCGCAGGCAGTCGAATCGTGACTCCTCATGTAGTGCCATGATATAATGACCTGAGAGCAAAACGCGTAATTGGAGTTTTTTTCACTTTGATTCAAATTCGCACCTATGATGCGAGCAATCTTCGATAAGAGCCGGGGTGCGCTTCTCCTGTAGTCAAGGGCGAGGAGTGAGACTTGAGGCTTATGACTCCGTGACACTATCGCAATCCACCGCCCACTGTGTTGAGTTCAATGCATAATCAAAAATCACTCGTGGGCCGCGACACGAGCGAATGCGCGCAAGTCGCGTGTCAGCCTCGTGCATGGGCCACCTCTGTGCAAGTTAATGTGGGAGCTTCAGCTCTGCTAGAGAAACCGCTGTCTGTCTCGTTCCTTTTCGAAAGCGCATCGAAAATGATCCCAAAACTGACGCAAAGCACCAATGAAGCTCCAGAGCAAACCGGGAACGGTAGCGGTTGATGATTTCGCAGCCTTTGCCGAGGAGCCGAACCCATTGTCAAGCTCTCGATCAGAGAATTGAACGAATTCTCGATGACCGAGAGGTTCTCTGGCTTACAGAAAACCACTTCGCTCCTCGCCTGAGGTCACTGTCTGAGTCATAAGGAAAGTGCGCGATGCCCCTCGGAGACAACTATTCCGAGGAAGAATCTGAATCAGGGAAAGGGGTTTGAATCGGCTGGTAGTTAGCCGCAGAGTATTGGCGGGAAGGTCCCCAGTACCTGTGAGCGGAATCCTCTGGCAGCGAGTGAATTGGAACAATATCGGGGCTTAGCCAGGAACCGTAGTGAAGATAAATCCACGCATAATTCCATAGTAGTCTCGAAAGTGCTCGATACCAAGAGGAATGCCATGAAATCGAGTCCCCCAGCCAATCGAGGTTTCCCCCTAGGTGCGAATGCTCGATTCTGAGAGTGTGAGCTCGCTTTCGCTGGGGTCTCGGAGCGCTGAGAATAAAACGACGGTGCGAGGGCGCCTCCCTGCTTCGATTCGGAATCGTCCCTACCCGGAATACCGGTAAACTATAGCCGGAATCGAACCTTCGGAACCGAAATCTTCACCGGGGTTGAGCTCGGAAGCTTCGCTCGTTTCAGACGAAAGTCCACTACCCCATGGCGGTTCTCTACTGTAATTCGCGATGGCATTCACGTCATTCTCGATCGATGGCGTAGCTCATAGCTTTTTGGCCTCTCGGGATAGGCGTGCGGTTCAGCGGCGCTTTGGAACGTGCTTTTCAGCAGCATTCATAGCGCAACACTCGAGAAACAAACGAGAATCAGCCGAATTCCCACAAGTTTCACAGCTTCCTATCCTCACGAGAATGCATCGACAAGAGTGAATACCATAGCTTGTTTCAGCGACCACTTGGTTGTCGGTCACTTGTCCGATTGGCTGGTCGGTGTCTTGAATTACATTCGAACAAGCGTCTTGTCGACGCACCAGCTGTTGCTCGTGCAAAACACTTTGAATACAAACAGCGTGCCCGACCGAATCATCATACATTCACTCATCATCATATGCGTGAAGACATGTGCACCTGCTCGCTCTCCTTACTCTTCATCCTCCACCGCGGTCCCCTCGAAAGTTCAATGCGGAAAGTACTTGCGATCGGGAAATTCCATCCCGTTTGACGCACCTCAAGTGTTCCCTGTAGATGGAGGTACGATGAGAACGATTCAAGAGAACCACTGATCACCCGATCACAACCAGATTAACGTGCATCGTTTCCACGCTCGAACACCGAGGGAAAACACGTAACGAAGGAATCAAGAGAGGAGAAATGTTGTCTGCATCCTCTCTATCCACGGGTTCATTTGAGAGGGTCATTCGTCTATCGGCGGCTGTCTCTTCCTCGTTCCATCGATAGCTCCGCGTTTTGAGCAGAGACAGTTGGTCTTCGAGAAATCGGTTGGCGATTCCCGAAACTCCCAAACGAGGTGAGCGCTCTAGGAGTATTTTCGCAAATTCGATTTGTAGCCTCTGCTCTTGGGAGAAGGGACAATGCGCGCGCGACGTAGCTCCGGGAAAATTCTCGACAGGGCAGTGCGAGGGAACTCTGGTGTCCGTGAGAGGCCCGATCGGGGAGCGACGATTTCCGCGCTCTGAAGTTTTCCATTGATCTTCCAGAGAACGATCTCTCCCACAGGCACGGCTTTCGCGAGAGAGAACAAATGACGGCGACCGAGCAAATGAGAGTGGCGGTACCCATAGCAGTCTGCGTCGGAGCGGCAATCGCATCCTACGCTGCTTTAATTCGATATCGGCAGAGAAAATGGCGCATCGGCGGCAAAATCAAGAAACTGATGATTTATCCGATCAAGTCCTTGCCTCCGCTTGAAGTCGAGGCAGCCGATCTCACACTGGACGGTCTCAAGTATAAGGGAACGAAGGACAGGTGAAACGTTCGTGAGAGAGATCGCCAAGCGCTCGAGTAAAGGACGATGATAGTAGAGGTCCGCCTCTGGAAACTCGCGGATTTCCCAACAGTCCGATGAGCATCCGTCGGTCTAACGGGTTTGAATCTCTCTTCCAGAGAATTTCTTCTCCTCGACGCTGATGATGGCAACAAGTTCATCACAGCTCGCACGGAGCCTTCGTTGCTGCTGATTCATCTGAGCTACGACACTGAGAGAAATTGTCTGCGAATCCGTTCGAACGATCCTCAGAAGAACTTAGATATTCTCGAGGTGCCTCTTGGATCCAACGAGGGAGTCGATACGTCGAGGGTCCTCCAGGTCAGGTATGTTGGAGGCGGGTAGTACACGCAGTAGCGCTCGCTCATCGACTCCAGGATCCAGGCGTTCAAGGCTGAATGTCCGAAATCTGGCTCCACCTACGTTGGATAATCCGAACATGACTATTTCTCATTCTCGTGAGCTGATCTTTAGGTGATCCGCTATTCCAGAACCTGGGACCGGAACGGGCCGTACGAAGCCTACGCCTGTGACGAGAAGGTCCGAGCTTGGTTTTCGAAGTACTTGAACAAGAATGTCCTCGTCGTCCGGCTCAAAGTCTTGTCCAAACTCGGGACCATCGAGAGCCCCGTGAGTGAGGAGATATATTGCTCTCATCCGGACTTGCATCGATGAGTCTGTCTACGTCTAACAAAAACACACATACAACCTTTAAAAAAACGCTACTTACTTGTGCGAGACAAATTGCACGCTCGTCACGGGGTCCGCGCCAGATCGCGCCCTCCAGAGGGAAAAAGACTCTGCCCGAATTCTCCTCCGTTGAAGAAACGAACCGGATTCCAGGCGAGGTTCCAAGATATGGCCGTGCTCAATATCCTCTCGGATCGCTCCGTCGAGAATCTCGTGGCATTGATCCGAGATCCGAGCGCAAACGTCACTTTTCGGAATTTTCGTCCAAACATTCTCCTGGAGACCAAGTATCCGCACGAAGAAGATTTCTGGGTCAGAGTGAAAATCGGGAACGCCGAGACAGAGTTTCAAAGACGCACGACCCGATGCCAACTGACCACAATCAACCCGGAGTCTGGTTTGAAAACGGACAAGGAGCCTCTTGTGACTCTGCGGAAGTACGTATCGGCCTGCATGCAACTGGTGAAGTTCACGCGCTTGGGAAGGTTGAGAGAGTCGGAATCTCTGAAGTCGAGCTAATGCGCTCTCACTTCCGAGAGAGGTATAAGCTCGCGTATGTGACATGACGAGTCGGGTGTCCATGTTAGCGACCCACATAGGTGTGCTCGAGTAGGGCATTCCGGTCGCATGTCGATGCCGCGTTTCCTTAGGTATAAAAAAACCTCATTCGGCAGAGATCTGGATGGGCGTCGCTCTCCCTCTTCCTCCATGACCTCTGCGACTGTGTAATGTAAGTTAAGGGCTATTGACTGAAATTTTGTTCGATCATCTTTCAGGTTCCGCGTGGAACGGAGCGCGTTTGGGATCTCGAAATACAACTTCATGCCTCTGTTTGCCTGTCATCACTATATCCGGTCCCCTGACACGATCTACGTCGGACAAACGGTCCTCGTCGAGGAGTCAGCTCGAGATCTCCTGTGAAATTCCGACCGACATTGGAATAAACGGGGCAGTGACCTTCCGAGCGCAGTTTCCATGCTGTATGCGATCGATAATCGGTCGATTATTATCATTGATAGATGAGTAGCGACTACATTTCGTTGGAATAAGATCTTTCGAGCCACCGGCAACGCTCAGTCCGCTCTGCGTGAAGAGTGCTTCGCAATCTTCGAGACGCCATGACGTCGATCCCGAAAGAGCCGTAATCTGGAAGGATCTCCTTGACGAGTAGACCCCGTTGAACTCTCTCGCTTGCCCCTGGAGCGACTCGCTCTGCGCAGCGGTGTTTACGATTGTTATCTTACTCGCTCGAGTCGGCTATTCATGCTCTTCGAGCGTCTCGCGACAGTCCCCCCATTGCCGCACCGCAAACGCGACGAGAGTTTTTGGGCTGTAAGTTCATTTTTTGAGGCTGCGTGCAATACTGCCGTGAACTTATTCATGCGAAACTAAATTGGATAATGAGAGTTCTGTCCTCGACGGCTGCAGGTAGAAAGGCTTGAAATTGAAGTTCGGATGGGAACGGCCGTGAACAACATTCCTCTACTGCCGGCTTCGCTCTGTGTAGCCTCAGCTGCGGCAATACTGTTCCTCTATCAAAACCGGAAGAGGAGGGCAGGGCCTCTCGAGGAAGGCGGTAAAATCAAGAGAATTTTCATTTACCCAATCAAATCGGTCCCGCCCATCGAAGTCAGCTCAGCCGACATCAATATCGATGGCGTGTCCTACAAATCTGTCAAAGACAGGTGAGGAACATCGTGAGAAATGAAATAGATTCAGCAAGAAGAATAGAATTTCTCGAGGAGATTGACGATACGCTCCACGGAAACATGCCGAACGAAGCCCACCGCGCGAGGACCAGCGCGGAGAATTCGCTTTCGCTCCGCTGCGTGAAATCCCTAATCTTGGGTTTCGGGGTGAGCATTTGGCATGAACACGATCAGGTCAACGGCGATTTTGTGTCTTTCTCACGAATATTCATTCTTCAGAGAATTTGTCCTCATTGATGCCGAGGGAACCTTCCTGACCGGTAGACAAGAGCCGACGCTCTCTCTACTGCACACGGAGTTCAACGAGGCTGATAATTGCTTGGAGATAAGCTCGAAAAACCCAGACAGCCTGATGGAATTGCTCAAAATCAAACTCGATCACGAACAAGAGAAGCCTCAGAGAACTTTACAGCTCACGTGAGTACCTAACGGCTGGGAGAGAATGCATGTGCCTCGAGCCCTCGCTCGCCGTATAGAAACAACAAGCGCTCGAATAGAAACGGCGCTCATGGGCTCCCCATTCATTCCTCGAGTTGGGCTATCTGAGTGAATCCATCTCTTTCCCCATCTAACGGAGAGCCCATTTGTTCTCCAGGACATGGTACAAGGATCATCCGTACAGCGCGACGTATGTCGACGACGCTGTCTCTGATTGGTTCAGTCGTTATTTGAAGCGGAAAGTTTCCGTGGTCAGATTGATTTCACTTGTTGGAAAGCGCCATTGGATAGCTCCGGTAGGGTTCTCGATCGCCTGTTCCTATTTGCTCGTCGCCATCCGATCACCCCATGGTTCTTTGGATCAGATATGTCATAGTGAAGGAAACTCCCAGTTGTATATGTCTGCTCTCATAGGATCGGTTCCAAGATGCTAGCGAGCTCAACATCCTGTCTCAAGCATCCGTTGATAACCTTGTGGAGATGCTGAAGGACGCCGAAAGCGCGAACATATCGCATCGGAATTTCCGACCGAGTTTGCTCGTCGAAACAAAATATCCCTTCGAAGAGGATTTCTGGACAAGGATGGTGATAGGTGACGTGGAAACGGAATTCCACACACGATGCGAACGATGTTTACTCACCACAATTAATCCGGACTCAGGAATAAGAACCGACAAGGAACCCTTGACAACTTTGCGAAAGTGCGTATTCTCTGCAGCTCACGATGGTGCAGGCAACGCTTATCAATATTGCGCTATAAAGAGACTCCGTATCCCAACAGGTACCGGATCGATCGCAGCGCTGAAGGTTTGATCAAGTACAAAATGCGACCCCTGCTCGCGTGTAATCATTCGATAACTAAAGCGGGAACCGTTCACGTTGGACAAACGATCATGGTACACAAAGCACCTAGAGAAATCCTGTGAAGCGCTTTCCCGAATGAAGGTTGAGGCTACCGGCTCCTTGCACAGGATATATCTTCGATGGAAAGTCGATGGCAAGAATCCGAATATCGGGCGCTTCCTCGGCGGGATATTCTGAGGAAGAGGAATTATTGTGGAAGTCTCGAGGACCCGGGGGAACCAGATCCCTCGGAACTCCGCCGATGGGCTGCCTTTATATCGCGACACGGACTATTTATCGTACTTGTAATGCGTAATCCGGGTTTTCCAAAACAATGCACACATCCGAATAATAAAACCGTATGATGACGAGGGACCATTATTCAGGCCTATGGTCCACGGAAGAGAGGAACAACGCGCACCGAAATTGTCGACCTGGAGACATCAGAGCAAACACGAGTGGCGCTATCTTCAAAAAAAAAACACTCCTCTACTCGAGCTCATTGCGGTGAATAAATTACGCGTTTCCATAGCAGGACCGGGAGTTTTTGAATCCATGGAGAGCCACGGGGGCTTAGGGGGAGCGAATCAAAGCTAAACATCGCATCTGTTTTCCAATCGATGCACAGAAAAACGTCCGCATGTGGTCGGGATGTATGCGAATCAAACCGATCCTGTAGCTCCGAAGGCCGAGTCCTGCGGATTACCTCTTTCCTTCCTGAGGACCATTGCTCGCACCTCCGATATACAGTTCTTGGAGGGGCTCCGAGCTTTGGAGTCGGCGTTGTCAATCTCACGGTCAATACGGACTTGAGGATAGAAATTATAGGGGAATCTACGTCCCACGCACGCAACTCTCTCTCTGATTGTATGTAGGGCGAGCGCGACGATACAGAACGGATCCAGGAACTCTGATTCCAGGACAGGTACCCCAGTCGTAGCGTGGCAGGACGTGCCGAGCACGAAAAACAGCCCGTCTCCTAATGTCATCGTGAGACAGGTACCTGAAAGGAATAGCTTTACTCGAAACGGAAAATTTCAGCTGAGGAAGCGTCCCGCAAGCTCCTGCGAAGTTATTGCTTGGCCGAAAAACCGGATTCGCTATGAATCCATCGCCCGCGTCTCCGGAATCGGACATTGTTGCCATTACTTCTTCCCTCTCATTATCAGGGTTCAAACTACAGAATGGGTATCGGAGCAGAAAGTGATTTCCTACATAAAATCAAAAGAGGTGATCGCAGACGGAGCATCGTAGGATGCGAGCAAACGTTCCGTCTTCAGTCGAAGCTCATTGTCGGCTTTTTATCGCAAACGTGGGAACAATAGCTTCTCTCGGGCGCAATCGAGCGTTTCGTTCCGCCGAGCCGAGGAAAGGGATTGGCGAATTTTTGTGAACCCATCTCCGTTTTATAAGGATAAAGATATTTTTTTTTGGATTTTCGGAATTCTCCTCCGAAGACAATTTTCTCGAGCTCCAACGTCGCTTGACAATAATAGAAAAACGCGTTCAATAAATATCTATTTGAGGCTGCGGCCAAAATGCGGATTCTTTGATTGTGGATCGGGCTACCTCTTATCCCCGGGATATAGATCAACGAGTCCCCCTATCTACCGACCGTTCACCTGGTACTTGAACGAAGTTTTTTGGAGAGTTCCAAATCGGGGCTACCTCCATGCGCAAACCACGGTGAAGCAGCAGGGAGCCGGGACCTCTCTCTGGCGGGGAGCCGTGTCACTCTTCCGGCGCTACCCAAGCGTTATAGCATCTCATCTGTAGAGTTTACTGTTTGAATCCGCGCTGATCCTCTGCCATCAGCAAAGACGGAGGCTGCGTGAGTGTGATGGTGGGCTTAGCGATGAAAGAAACAGAGTGAAATAGCCTAGAGAACGCTGTCTCCGCAGCTACCGTCAACGACAACAACGAGAACAAGCTCTCCTCTTCCTTCCTCGGCTTTTTGTCTATCGATGCTCCTTTGCGTCTGTCGGTCCATCGACCGATCGCCTGATCGGTGGTCCCGTTCTCCTTTTTCCTCCTGGCTTCGGAGGAAAAGTTTCTACGAAAGGCGGAGACGAGCCTCGCGAACCTTGGGATGACCGCTAGTCGAAGTCGTTTCCGTAGTCTCCCATACGGCTCGAGAATATAACGTTCAATCAATTCCTTCATGTAGTAGGTATATGTACTCTCAAGGGAGAGGGCTCATCTTGTTTCTCGAAATATTGCTCTCGAGCGATTCCGGATCCCATGGCATTCATTTTGATTTTGACGAGTGGAAAATCGGAGGAAAATAATTGTATTGCAATGGACGAAATCTTCAGATATCGAAACGGCTCGGATCAAGTCACGCATCAACGGATGAATACTTTGGTGTGTCGAAAGCGATCGTAATACAGCCCGGCATGACTGTAATTCGAAAAGTGTCAAGGGAGGGAAGAGCACTTGCCGACATATTCCGATGGTTGCCGTCTTAAAAATGAGCTCGTGTCGATCGCCTTACATTCGGGAACCATCGTCATCCGACATGAAGTACTCCACAGTTGCGGTGCTGATGACTGGACTCATGCTTCCGGCTTCGCAGGCTTCCATGCTAAAAAAAGCCACGAAAGCACTCGGGAGCTACGCCCTCATCAAGGCTCTCGAACCTAAGGTGATTCTCACAAAACTTCTGTCTGAGCATATTCATCAAGGAGTATTCCACCGATTTAAGCAATGAGTCGTCCTCAAAAGCTCTATCAACTGGACATCATTGACCAGTGCCTCTAATTTCTACGATCCACAGCCTCCGCAAATGGTTGGCATCATGATGCCAATGCCAATGATGATGGACACTCCGAGTCCTATGATGGAAGCCACAAAACCGATGTCATTGATGGACCCCCCGAAGACTTCGATGAGCGGGAACTCGGCCATGATGACCATGATGATGATGATGGACAATCCGATGATGAAAACCATGATGAAGGAACCAGCCATGCAGCAGGCGGCGAAACCACAGATGATGGACGCCATGAAAATGATGATGGCCACCACTCCAAGCACGATGAATGTTCCCGGCGAGCCGTCCGATAGACAAGTTCTCGCAGCTCTCCACGCAATGGAGCATAATCAGGCTCATCATCCTGCGCCCAGGAACTTCCATATTCACTGATTTTAGGAAAGAAACAGAGAAATATTTGCTCAGTTGAGAGTGTGGGAATGCGTGCCCGTGTTGTTTCGTATTGGATCTCGTGCTTGTTCTACATTGTATATGTTTTTGTGATGTCCCCTTGATAGTCCCCGTGAGTGTATCTGGAGCTGGATGTTATGAGTGTGAGGCATTGAAAAAGTCCTTGTATACGGAGATATGGTGTCATAAAATTCAGTCGATCTTAAATGTGACCTGTCCTGTATGCTTCGCGAATCGAGACCAGTGCCATAGACCCAGATAGGCTTCCCTGGGAGACGGAGAGTCGTCTCCATCCGATGCTTCCGAACATTCATCTCATATTGAGCATCTTCGATAATTAGTCCAGCTTCTTATTTATCGCAAAGACGTTCGTGTCAGTCGGACCCCCTGATGATATCTGGGGAGCTCGCCGATTCCGAATTATTGTCCACGCGGATCTCGAGGTTCCTCCGATCGATATGATGATGTGATCTGCGTTCCATAAGACCCAGTGATGAGCGGGGTTGCTGAAGAAGTGTCATGTCGGTGCACGAGTCATCCCCTCCGAATAGTCTCGAATTGAGTTTCGGGCCCCCGAGCAATCACATTGTGCTGGGTGATACTCGCAGGAGCCTCACTGCCGAGGCGGCGGGCTTGATAAGGACGCTTGACTGTGCGTTTCCGGAAGTGGATTCTAGAACCTAGGAGCAACGGTCGCGGCTGGGCTCGTTATCCTGCAGCTATCGCCAACGGCAGAAGGTATGCACGAATCTTTGCGAGATACCATTGAGAGGATTGAAGTCGACCCTTGCGTACATGATAGACATCGCGAAACGGCCTTGCTACTTGGATTTGAGGAGTCCATGCATTAGTTTGAAATGGTAAGCTGGCGCTGGTTCCCGCTAATTCCGTGACGGGAACATAATATAGGATTGATACGCATGGCTAGCTGACTGAGAGGAGAAAACGCTCCCTTGACCAACTTATTCCATCATTGACCTTCGCACTCGTCATGGTAGCTCTTTCATCGCTACGATGTCATAAATTCAACTGTCTCCGACTTCAGCAAAGCAGTCGGTGCCAAAGAGTCGAAAGCCGAAAACCGCTGAGGGACGTTGACGAGCAACTCCCAACACAATGGTGACTGCAAAGCTCATTATCGGACTCACCCTCTTGAGTATCACAGTCCTTGGCTCGGGAGACGCTTTCGTGCTGAAAAAATTGAAAAAAGCTGTCACCGCAGGGATGTTGGCTAAATCCATGCAGCCTCCCGCCCCCGCAGAAGCGGCGATGATGATTCCGATGCTGATGCCGATCGTGCCGACTCCAGAACCCTGCCCACCCAAAATCATTGCTCTCATGATGCCGCCGATCGCCAGAGTCTCCAACGAAGTGATTGTCGTCCGGGACAGAGTCCATCATATCAACGAGTTCGACATGCCGAATGGGGACTGAGTGTGGCTCAATGGAGACAGTCACTAACTTAGAGTGATAGGCGAAGTAGATATCAGGTAGAGCTCCCGTGAACTTGAATAAACTCTCCCTGGACATTTTCTCATAATCAGTCGATTCTTTGCTTTCCCTCAAATTTTATGCTCGGCTCCCGAATTATCACAATCAGTCCCATCGGGATTCCGCCGATCTCACCATGATGACGAAGGACTATGCCTGTCAGAGCTCGAGGTCGCGAAATCCTGGAGCCATGTGATGTCGCGGTAACCAGGGGATTTGTTGAAGGGCAAGAGAGGGAAAAGAACGATTCTGTGTCAAGAGAGCTGGAGAAATATCTCTCCTCCTGGTGAGCTCGGGTGCCAGACCGAGCCGACTCGACTGGACGTGGCTCCCCCCAATACGATATTTAGGCCGGTTGGATAATTAGCGGTAACCGGGTTCACCTCGATGAGAGAATGGAGCTTCGGATTCATTCAACATTCAGGCTTCGGACTTTTATTAGCGGACGGATCACGACGAGCTCGAGGAATGAGCATGATAAGAACACGTGGAGGAACATGAGCGAGAACATTAACAGCATTATACATCGACTTCACACAGGGAACGAGGCAGTCTCGAAATAATTTTTCGAGAGACAGGAAGACGCTCCATCTTCTCCGGGGATCGACGGTCCGAAGGACAGACAACCGACGGGACACGCTGGCAACACGAGACAAAAAGCGACTAGATTCATCAAAGGGCCATCTCATGACGAAATGTAGACTACGGAATGCTTATCACGAGCGGCGATGAATTCTAACGTCTCCCGACGGTATGGACATGAGGATAGAATACCGGTGCCGGTCTTGGAAAAGGGACGGGAGGGAGATGAGGACCGAAAGCTGGCACCGGAGGAGCGATGATCGGTGCGGATACGATTGGCGGATGCACGACAGGGCGGCTCACGTAGATTGGCTGAGCAGGTGCCGGTGGAGGGGCCACATAGACAGGGGGTGCTTGGACAACGATGGGTCGAGGCGGAGGCGGTGGGGCGTATATCGGCGCGTGATGGTCAAGGATCAACGGCATGATCACTGGCTGGATACTGAGCTTCTGTCGACGATATCAGACGGGTTAAGCTAAGGAGTAGATCAGTCTTCGGGCGCCCGATTTATCGAGGCAGTATTCAACATCTGCGAAATCGATTCGAACGCTGTTCGCTCTCGAAAAACTTTACCTTCGCCTTCTTCTCCTCTTTCTTCTCCTTGAGCTTCTTCATGAGGAATGCTTGCGAGACACAAGCTGTCGCAGCGAGGCAGACTATGAGGGTTGATATTTTCATGACGAGTTTGAAGGGAGTCGGACGCTGCGGAGCTGGGCGTCAACGAAACCGATGCGCACAACGTTTTCAGTATTCGAGGAATGAAATGTTTTTGACTGACGGCGAAGCTCCAATTGGTTGCTCTAGATTTCTCGCATTTGCTTTTTATACCACGGATAGTCTAGGGATGGGGCATCGATGGGAAGTGCGTTTGTTGCCTAATACTTGGATGACGGCATCCATGTTCAAAGGATCTTCGCGGGGAAAATGTCCCAGCCCGCCGTATGAGGAAAGCTCGATTTCCATTCACGGATAATTCCAAGCGATCTTCCGAAGGTGACGCCTAATGAATGTTTGGAATTGAAGCTACCGAATCGCGCATTGAGACGCCACGGGTACGGCGGGGGTGATTATACGGGAGCTCCGGGCCGAACGACAGACAGGCAGGCAGGAAGACAAACACGAATTACTCCAAGCATCTCTTCGACTCCCTCGGACCGGAAAAGGCATTTGTGGGCATCTTGATCCCGATATCGGAGAAATCGCGGAAACTTCACAGCTCTACTCAATGAACAGATCAGGTACACCATCTGTCTCAAGGTACCGAGGAGTGAGACACTTCCGATGTTGATTAATTCGAGAAACTGTGTCGTCACAGCATCATTCAAGTGGCCTCCACTCCGCAGCCGACGCGCGACTCAATGGAGAATTTTTCTCTCCGGAGTAAATTCCGGAACAGATCGGAAACGGGATCTGAGTCGGCCGATGAGCACGGGACACTTAGATACCCGCGTTGAATATTCTACATTTCGTCTCACTGCATCGCATTCCATTTTTCTGTCGGAGTCCATTTTCACTTTTCCCGGTTCAGGCGGATCGATCCGTTCCATTTTCCATTTCCACGACACTTCCGCACGGGCTAAGCAATCGGCGAGCATACATATATCGGCCCAGATCGAATTGCGGGCGATTCATTCTCGATTCGTCGTGGATTCGGTGCCAAGCTCTCGTCCGAAGCTCGTCAGGATGCGTGCTTACACAGTCTTCTACTCGGTGATTCTCGCCTCAGTTTTGGAACAAAGTTTGGCCAAAAAGTTTGAAAAGGGCGCGCTCACTTACCTGCTGCTGAGGAATCTCCAACAAAAGGTAACATTGAAAAGGATGAATTCCCATCAAACTCACAGGGGAGAGAATATCGAGCCGGAAACCGAGATCGAAAACTAGGGAGACTTCCCGAATCGAAATCGTTCTCTCTCTATTCTGGACAAGGCGACGATCGTGAATGATCAGCTCGCGCACCGATCACCATGGATCGAATTCTCGTCGTATTTTTTCTGATAGATCGCTTTCCCTAAATTCGATGTATGCCATTCAGAGTCAAGGTATTGGACGCTCAGAATAACGAGTACAGATTCCGGTAAATCTCTCTGACAAATGCTCTAGTGTGGGTGTCCCTATCGGAAAGTATACGCTATTCACACTTCAAGCTCCTCTCCTCTCAGACGAGAATCGGTTTGTAGTACAGAAGAGACGGAAACCAATGATGATTATTATTCATTGATTTACTTTTCGAGCTCACGCGGGCCCTGATCCGATCGCGGTTGCTCAGCCCCCGACTAGAGTGCAAATGTCCCTTTGGAGCCATTACCTGCTATAGACCACATTTTTTCCAGCCTCAGTCCGAGATGATGGTCATGCTACCCGCCGGTGTAGATGTCAACGAGCTGAAGACACCGATGATGATGATGGTGCTGCCCGTCGGTGGGATGAAAGCCATGCAAATGATGCCGACCATGCCAGCTATGCCGCAAGCAGGTGCGGAACAGATGAAGCAGATAATGATGATGCAACAGCAACAACAGCAGCAGCAACAACAACAGCAACAGATGATGATGATGAGCCAGATGATGGAGAATATGATGATGGCTAATGCCATGAAGGAGGGGTCGATGAGCAAAGGGATGGAGATGAATGCCATGATGCCGTCGAACGACTCCACCGATAAGATGGTTGAAGCTCTGAGGAAACTCGAAGCTCAGCATCATGCCCGAGAGCACACGCATGCGCATGCCCCCGTTTTGGCGAGCCGTCACGCCGACGCCCACATCCATCCCTGAGTTCGGACGAGAATCCGAACGTCACATCGTCTTCGTCATGTCCGTCGAGGACTCCGAATTCCTAGATCGTTCGCTGGCGAACGTCTTCTGGATGAATAAACAGAGTAAAGAATGAACAGATCATTCACAAGAGAATTTTAATTCTTCTTTCCGATCCCCATCGATCCATTCCAGCTCGCTGGGAAATCTGGGCTGCTATCTGGGCTATATTCTCTCGTCAGGGAAGCGACCAATGTCGCCCAGAGTTGTATTAGGCAGCCTGAATCAGTAGGCTCGCTGGCCGATATAAGATGCAGGAAGTGTCATTCGCTCGAGCAGTGAGGCAATTTTGACAATATGCCAACAACATGTCAGAAGATGCCAGACTCCGCTCATGCCCTTGGATGTCTTGCACTCCATATTGCCGGAAGTGGGGAGTGATGAGCGCGACAAACCGGGATAACAACGACTCCTCTTCCCGGGGTGCCATCTAGTTCTTGCCTGGATCTTTCGGCTGGGTCTTTTGGCGACTCCTCTGTGTGCCCTCTAAGTGTCATATCCGCATCTCATGACGACATCCAGTGAAGTTCAATGTGTTTATGAGCGATAGGGACCCATTCTTTTCGAGGCTGATACATATACTGCGCAGACCCCGCTAGAGAAAGCTCGAACGGAGCTCCGACGCTCGTGCCCGCACTGGCCTCTGGAGAAGCCTTATTCTGTACGTCGGAATCCGGCGAAGACAGTCGTACCGCCGGAGTCCTCGACGTGGAGCGTCGGCATTCGATTCCGACGTGGAATTCGCATTCAATCAAATGAATTTGAGAGCTGGAGCGCTGTTGCCACCCAAGCCACTTTCTCCTCCGATTCTCCCTCCCGAATTCTCTTCTCGCGAAGCCGCTGCCGCACTCGCATCGAGAGATGTACGACAAGGAACCTATAGCAACCACATTATGCAAAAAAAGGTGCAGAAACTTACTCAATCGAAATATGAACTCGGAAGGAGTAAATATGCTGATCGCATTCGAGGAACATCTGAAGGAATGAAACCTCCTCTGAGCCGCGCAGCTACTCTCGAGCTCTCGCGTCGCACAACATCCACGAAACGACCGGAAGTTCGAAGGAGCTCCTTCTTTTTCCTCCGTGCCGAAAACAGGAGATGCAGACATGGCTTTGGATCGTCTTCGCGATACTACCCATGCACGTTTCCAAATCGTCGCCTTACGTTTATGGAATTCAGAGGTAAAAGGACGCGGAATGCGACAGGAGGTCGAGGAGGCTCTCTTTCTAACTTAGACGAGCTAATCTCTTCAATGAGCGAGTACACAGATTCAAGAGGGTGATGTTATCCTTTTAAGCTCATCGAAACCGGAAATAGCAAAGTCTATCAAGTTCACTCGCCACCAACTCGGCCATTAGCTCAAGACAAATCTCCCCGACAGAGATCTCACAGAGAAGGTCGAGAGAGGAACATTATTCCCTCAGTCCGGGTCTGTTCGGTTGAGGGCATGCAGATCGCCGAGCGCCAACGAGCGAGCCGCCGTCGTCCTCCACCTACTTCCGGCAGGCGATGCGCTGCAAGCTTTTTGTGTTGATGCTATTAATTTGCTATCGCGAGAGCGAATGAATCGACGTGAAGCACGATGGCGAAGCATCTTGTTGTCGATCGGGGCAGAAAGGGAGAAAGAAGGGCCTGCTAGGCGGCCGAGTAACCGACCGGCTTTTGAAAATTGTGGCCGCAATGGCAACCGCGGCGGCTAGCAGATGCAAATTGCAATCATCATACGAGATGCACTTAAAAGTAAGCTGGGAAGAAGAGGGAGAGCGCATTCAGAGAAACTGGAATGCATACGCGTTCGGAGAGTGTCTGCTCGTTCTTTCTACAAACGCGTCGCGGAGTTCGATTTTTCAATCGCTTCTCCGATATACTGCATATGTACATACTCTCTTCTACCCTCTCTCGAATCGTCTCTTGAATCGTCGGAGAGGCTTTCGTTGGGGAAATTGAACGTGCCTTCAAATTGTATCAGCTCGACGCACGATCCCCGCGCAGGACCTCTTGTTACCAAGAGCGAAGAGACGCGAAGCCGTTCGTGATGAGCGAGCGTTGAGCACGGGAATAGCTCCAACGCCGACTGAGTTAGCACTAAGAATCGAAAAGTGCGAACGAAACTCAATGAGTCTGACTGAGTAAACACTCTTTCGTCCAGGGCGATCTATCGACTCGGGGCGCTATCCGTGTCAACAGGAATCGGCACTCAAGGTTCGCTTGAATGTTGCCGCGCTCGGTACCTGTTCGCTGAAGGACCTCAATGAAGCTCGGGCGACCACAGGTAGCAATCTCTCCCTTGTTCAACTCTCACCTGCTTCATCCCTGACTGAACTAGCTAATCTTGAGCTGTCTGGGTAAATCAATTTGTCATCTCCCCACTTGGCTCCCCACACTCGGAGCCCTGCTCGCGACAACCAACCCAGCGACCAGCCCGTCAGCCAAGCAAGCCGCCACCGCCGGAGGGGAGGGGTGGCCATCGGTGTGCACCGCGTCGGCACAATGGGACGGGGTGAATTCGGCCGAGGAGACAAGATCAGTAAAGCAAACAGCTTCCACTTGAACGCGCTTCTCCCCTATACACACCGGGAGCAGCGATACAAAGTAAACATATGCTTTTCTTATGAGTGCACCACATTGGCAGGTAGCTCGCGGAATTCGATTGCTTGACCGTGTGCGTCGACGAGCGCGCTCCGTCAAATACCCTTGACTTCGAAGGGAAGGCCGAGAAACAAGGGAAGAATGGGTATCTCCAAGAACTCAATCGATGGAAGAAACCTATCCGCATATGAACCTCGTACATCGCGCGTTATGATTGTGAGTTGCAAGTTTGTGTCCCATCATTTGAACACTGCGGCGCGTGCTCGGTAGACCCCTCGATCTGAGGAATATCGCATCCTGCGATGAGACAAGGAGATTTCGAACAAAAAGCTGTGCTTATGCCGTGAGGGGGGAACCCAAAACTTTGAGCATCAAATTGTTGGCCGAGAGCGGTACCAGCAGCGCCCTCTGGTAGTTTCCGAGAGAGAGCCCTGGGCACGTCTCCTGGAGAATGGTACAGGGAACAGTGCTGCGCTACTTATGCTTCAATTAAATGCCTGCCTTCAATGGCCGACGGATGGGACTAGGGACTGGGCAAAGCGAGGCCTTGGACTCCGGAGGCAGAATCTCACCGATGACACCCCGGAGAAATATCCGAAAGAATAGGATCCCGGAGTCAAGAGGATGCTCCGAAGAGAATGTATGGTTCCGACGGGAAGATATCATCAGAAGTCGATACGACGCACCTCGGCACACCAAAGGCGAGTGGTCACACCGATGGAGAGCATATCTAGCCGAGATTGCGAGGGTATCGCTACGTCGATAGGAATGTTGCGGAAAGAGAATAGAGCAATCGGCTCGCGTCTATTTTATTGTCCGAATCTGCAGAATTATTCAATGATCAGCAGAACACAGAGTGAATGTTGGGAGTTGGGAATTTCTTTCCGAGTGTGAAGCAGCTGCTGACCAACGAGCACAGTAGAGGCAGTCGGTGACAACATCCGATGGCTTTCCCGGTCCAAAGAAGAAATAATGGCGGTCATTTTGAGTTGTCGCGTGTAGTCCGAATCGACAATCCGTGAAGGGTACAGGACGTTGTTATAAGCCGGGTCCGGACTCCTGCTGTTCGACGCTTTTCCATCCGTATCGCTTCCTTGGTCGTTTGGCTCTCACTCGCCGGATTCGTTCAGAGGTGAGACGCCCCCTCATTCTGAATAGCACCCACTCGTGTCATGGAAAAATGGTAGGCATCTATCTTGTCGGAATCTCGTATCGGTGGCTCTTGTTCTCCCCTGCAGATACCTGGTCTCTTCCAGACGAGTTTCTCAATGAACTGACGGACCCCGTTCCCCTCCACTGATGTGTCAAAGATTTTCGGCGTTTCATGAAGTCATCCGCGGAGTCATCGAGAAAGGACCTCCACCACAACATTGGGTGGTTTTCTCGAAGTTAGACGACGAGTCAGACGAAGACTAATTTAATCACTGTACAAATACACAGAAACTATTCTCTCCGGGTCCAATTAAATTCGTGGAACGAATTCCGTGAGAACGAACAACATTCACGAAGTCTCATGACTCCGAAGCGCTTTAAGCTGCCATAGGTGACATCGGCGACATTAGCGGCATGTTGTGTGGACATGGTGCTTGCATCATGGATGGAGCCATTCCTCCCTCCATCATTGCGGGAGGTGCCATCATTGCGGGAGGTGACATTTCCCTCTCGAGAGGCTCCTTCATTCTCATGTTGTTCATCATCATCATGGTCATCATTGTCATGAGCTGAGCCTTCATCATGTCGTCAGGCTTGATCGGGGCTTCCGCCCTGATCGGCTCTGACATCGGCATCATCATGGGCATTGGCATAGGCATCGGCATCATCATGGGCATGTGCATTTCTGGAATACAGGCTCCCGCGTTAATGAAGAGAGTAAAGTTGTCAGCACGATCAATGAGGGATCAGTAGGGAAATGAAAACGAGGCAAAACTGTCATACCGTCCATATGCATCATCATGTCCGTCGTTGGAGGGGCCGGCTCTGAAGGCTTGGCGGCGTTCATCATCATGACAGCTAGAGCTGCTTTCTTAATTTTTTTCAGTTTGAGAGCTTCACATCGAGGAGTGGACAAGCAACAAATCACGATTAGACAGATAAACACTTGCACGTTGTGGGATTTCATGTTGGAACGAAGAGACGAAGACAGCACAACACTGAAACATGTAGATTCCAGTCGGTCTATATATGTGAGTACGGGAAAAAGCATGTCGGTGAGGGAATCTACGGGATAACGAGGTCAAGCTCCGCTGACTGAATCGATTCATTCACACATCGAAGACTCCGGAATAATGTCTTGAAAGTGAGCTTTCCCGGAGCCGATCGGCTGCGACGGCGGGGTTGAAACATTCGAGAAACTACACCTACACTAGCATCGCATGCGCGTCAGGACCACAGAAGCGTGAAATCCCTCATGGAAATTTTCCTCCTAATCGCGCTCGAAGAGGAGCTCCGAATCCAGCGACGGAGCAGGAATTCATCGATTGTGCACTCGGACTCGAGAATCTGAGCGGCCGAGAATAATAATGAACCGAGCGATCGATTTCGAAACGAGCGCTTCATCAGCACCCGGCTAAGGGGACCTATGGCGGCCCTGTCCCACGCAGTTGTGAACAAAAAAAAAGCCTAGACTGCGAGTCGGGCGCGTTTTGGAGTCGCTAAATTGCCTCATCGTGCCATTACTACGCAAATTGATACAGGATCAAGATGCTACTGGGTATTCTGCTACTGGGAAATCGCCGTGCGAATCGTGGCTCCGGATCGTCGGCAAAGACTCTCCCGCGTCGAGATGAATCATTTAAAAGACACGCTATCAGTCATTTGAATCGTCAGTCTTCGATATTTAGCTAGATCATGACATTCTCATCTCGAATTATTCTCTTGTGTTCTGCACTCCTCCTATCGAGGGATTCGGAAGGTCTCTTGATGAAGAAGATGATGAAAGGTGCGATGGGTTCCATGATGATGTACCACCCTCCCGACGACCATTACATGATGCCCGCTCCGATGCCCAGTGAGTATGCCCGGATGGGGGCAGTCTAAGACCGGACCAAAGAAGTTCTCGATGCTGATTATGCTGCTTAAGGCTTATGGTTATGCATGGCTTTGTGGATGCTCGCCGACCGAGCTCCGAGTCCTTCCGCATCGGACTAATCTTCCAAATCTATTCAATCCAGTGATGATGCCCGCCTGGAACCCACCGATGGATGCCAACACGATGTCGATGATGATGATGATGATGGGCATGCCGGCGATGCCGATGAATGACGAAATGAGAGCTGCATTGTCGATGGAGCAGTCCCTCTCTCTCATGAGCAGGATGATGAACAGAGCACAATCGGCGCATGAAGCGGCTGATACCAAAATGAAACACCATTTGAGATCCCACGAACAAAGATCGGATGTGGTCAGGGCCCCATGCAAGCATCAAGCAACGGCACCGCAAGCGGTCGAGCCGCTCGCAGCTCCACAGAACAGAGGCCAGTCTGAAACCCCATGCCGACACGCTCTTACGTCTTCGGCACCCGCAGCGATGCACAACCAACCTCTGACACAGATGGGTTCAAACGCAAACCCCAATGGGGGCATGTCCGCGTCGCTAGTCCAGGCACCTCAAATGATGGCGGTACCGATGATGCAGTATCCCATGCGAGCGCCCACCATGAGCCCGCCGATGATGCCTATGATGGCTTCCGGAGCTTTTCCCCCCAACGTTGTCGCCATGGATTCCATGGGCAGGCAGAGTTGATTCCAAGATTCTATCTCAGACTGAGAAGAGCAAGATGAATTTTGGTTTGACGGGCGGAATAATCCAGCAAGTCATCGAAAGCGGGGGATAGCGGACGGTAGAAACCGACCGGGCTGCTAAACCTCCTCAACCTCGTTCTCGCTCCTGTATTCCTGTCTCTTCGTCATCTCAAACTTTGGCAGCCATCGCTGCCAGCGACCGTAAACACCACTGAAGCTCCGAGAACGATTTCCCTCAGTTGTTACCGAGTGGTCCGTCCAATCATTAGAATTAGTGTAAATAAAGCGCAGCCAATCATCTGATGAAAGCGTATGAGCTCAGGGCCTCTTTGATAAGTTTTTGTGAATACTGAGCTCATTTCCCTTAATAAATTACGATATGTTTCCGTCTTCCCTCCCGTTCACTCGGATCGCGGAGATGGACCTCTCACGGTGATCTTGACGCGGATCATTGAAACATTCGTCAATGTCCCGTTTGCATTTCATTTCACGAAAACGTCCCCTGGAATGCGATGCTCCGTCAACATTGCTCGATCTGGTTCCATCGCTCGACTACATTAAGCGTCGGATGAGAATCCCTCTCCGGGTTTCTTCAATGGTTCCCATTCAAGAGCTTTCTGACGCTTCTTCACGTGGATCGATCGGGTGGAAATGTCGACCTTCAATGGTTTACACTTGGATACATTAGAAGGTCGGAGCAAAAACTCACGTTGAAAAAGGGTGTCGCGTCCTTCGCATCGTGTCAATGAGGAGCAGATCCGTCGATATTACCGAGCGTTTGACGGGGACTTGTTGGCGCAAGTGATATACTGAGGGACTGGGAAAATCAAGATCTACAATCAGCCTCCGATATCTTCGCGGGACTTGCCCATAATTGCCTGAGCGCGTGTCCTCATTTCATGATTAAGTGGTCATCATGTCATGTGGAGGGTCGAGCTCCGCTTATCATCAGGGAAAAAACTGCGCTCGGCTCACAAACTGAGATGATCCGGGTGAAAGGATCGTGAAGACCGAAGAACGACCCGCTTATGCTCGGCACGGGCAGCGTCATTCTCTCTTCAGGGATGTTCAGTGCTCGAACTCCTCGGGCTCTTGTATACGGCATTTTTTGCGCTGGCTGGGGAACCTGCTGAGTGGACCCAGTACCTCGAAAACCTCCTTGCGATTGCGAGTGCTCTGGATGAGCTGAATTCGAGAAGACGTGCGGTCTTGCCGAGCTACGTTAGCCGGTTCGAAATTGGGTAATGCTGTCGATGAGCGAGTGAGGTTCTGATGTCGTTCATTTTTATGACTTTTGTGTGCACTGAAGTTTCTTGCCAATCCGAAACAATTGGTCCGGACAGGTTTCAGCCTCCGGCTCTATTTCGTTTCCTCGGGCGCGTCTCTCTGTCAAAGTGGATTCTGTCAGACTCTATTTCAAAAGTGGATTTCCTAGGTAGTCAGTCTGCTCGCCGCTCTGCCGGCCGTTCCACCAGCCTGTACGCCCGACCTCGGTCATCTATCGTATCCGAACGAATTTGTGCCCAGCAGCAGACTGCGAACCTGGATCATACAGGGATTCTTGCAAGTTGCAACTCTAAGCAGGACATTTCGATCCCCGGAAGTCTGTCATTCGAGATTCACCCAGAGAGTACCTCTCCGAGTATCGAAAACTTTGTCACCCTGACGCGGGACCTTTGGCCTCGTCGAAGATCTCCTTGCATATCATAGGTTCGATAATCGCGAATGAATGCGGAGACGCCTCCGAATTTCCGCCTCTTCACCGAAGAGGTGGTTGCAAGCCGGAACCTCCGTGTCGTAAGTATCGTATTACGCTTCCTCGAGACACTTGGAGCTTCGTCAACAATCCCCGTCGGTCTCGGCCGAAAAGAACCAGAACTCGAGCTGTGGCGGATACAGGGGAGGGGGGCAGAGCCCCCCCTTCTTCGCGCCCCTCGGGTCTTCTGACTCCCTACACTCCCCACGTTGAAGCAGGACCCAGCTATCAATCCGCCCCTCCCTCGATGCATGGACTGCCTCCTCTCGGAGGATTCCTGATCCGCCCTCGGATTCGAGGGGAAATCAAGGTAGCGATCAAGCACGCTCCGCAACTCATTTCAAGGTTTCATAGGCGACCCAACCGCTGCCTCGACAGATGTGCTCGGCAGGCTCCGACGATTTTCACGTCAGAACATCAGATCGAACATCGTGCACTTATGTTTTTCACTCTTCGCCGCCTATATGGTCGATTTTCAAGAAAAACGATGCTGGCGCTGTCTTGTTTACGCGCCGATTGAGGTGTGGAAAAAAAATGACTCAACACATGGGAACGTGGAAGATGGCCCGAAACCCTTTCCAACAAGCCCCTGAAGAATATTATCCAGAGCCAGAGTTCGTTTCTCAGCCCCCATATAAGCAAAAATCACGAACTATTGTCTCCATGCCTGCGGGCATGCGTTTCCTCAATGAATGGCTCGGCGGCCCGCATGGAACAATGAGGCCCAGCGTGATGCATTTCCAATAGTCGAGGATTCGAATCAAGATCCCTGACATTTCAGTGAAGAAATCGAAGAAGCCATCAAATCCCGTATACCTGACGCTTCACGTGAGGATATCGGGCGAATCGCGTCGGCCGTCGATAGAGTATACACCCTATTTCCGAGGGTGCCAAGAGTAGCTTTCAATCTGCTTGAAAATTGGTACTCGGCAAACTTCGCCCTCGTTTCAGCCAGGGATCCTCTCTTGCACTTCGCCTATCAACAGGTGGGTGGAATCATCGTTTTCGCGAGCAAACCTCCATCGGGTGAGTTCCAATGAGGAAACGCTCGTCGCCCTGCCTACGGAAGTCTCCGGAGAATCTCCTTCAACGAAAAATCCGTTTCATAGATCAATTTATGGCTTCAAGAAGTCACCGAAAAGATGCAAAGTAGGAAACTGCTCGTCTTCGATCTGCAAGACATGTTCATCAGTCTCTACGAGTGCCACAGCATCATCTTGAGCAAGAGTCTGTTGCCAGCTCAGCACTTTGCGGGTCTCATACGACAGCTTTCAGTAAGATATTCGATTTTCGGGTTTCGCGTTCAATAATCGCCTGAATATCTGCTCTCTGAACTTGTTTCTCGGGACATTCCGCAGATTTATCTGTCAGAATTCTGCTCCCTGCTTGCCAAGCTTGCTCAGGTCGAGCCATGTGATATTCTTCGACTTGGGGATATTCTCTTCGAGAAAATTCAGTCGCACGCCGTTGATGCTGCGGAGCCTGCAATCCGTTGTATTCCGAAGGTTGCGGACTTCGTAACCGAGAGGATCCTGGGTGCAGGTGCATTCGGAGTGGTGTACAAGGCACGGTACCTGCCAGGTAGCGGGACTATGCTTATTCATGGAAAGCTCATCCAGTTCCTTCCTTTACTGACTTGAGTACGACTTGGCCCCGTTTTTGAGCCAAATGGGGCAACTCTCGCGAATTTTTCAGCAAACATGGCCTGCACGCTCAAAATCGTTCCCGCGGAAAATTTCGGAGCCGTGGAGCACATCATTGCCGATCGTGTCGTAGCGGCTGTGGTCGACCATCCTATGCTTGTGACGTACTTCTGCGTTTTCAGTACTGAAACGGCGACCATCACCATGATGGAATACCTCAAGGCAGTGGATGTTCAAAAAGGTTCGGTGGGGTTTGTTGGCCTCACATGGGGAATTGACGCTCTCGGTTTGCAGCGAGATGAATCGACCCCTTCTTTCCGCAGTGGTGGATGCAAGCCGGAACCTCCGCGTTGAACAAGCTCGTGTGATTTTCGCACAGCTTACCGCTGCCTTGATGCATATGCACTACAACGGACTCATGCATCGTGACATCAAAGGCAGTAATGCTCTAATCTTGCAAGGCGGGAAAGTGAAACTTATCGACTTCGATACGAGTAAGGTCTGCGTCGGTCATTTCGGGACTCGATACCTACAGTGAGTCTGGGGGAATTACCTCGGAGGGGGGATGGAGCTGAAGACGCTGCTGGGATTGCTCAGTAGCAGGGGTGCACAATGCGCGGTCGATAGTTTCAGATTTTGGAAATTAGAATTCTCGATTTTCAAAATATAAGAAATGTCTCGGAAATACCACGCGCGTAGCTTGCCCGAAAAACTCAGAGCTCCATTCTCCTGGACAATAATCCGTGTTGATCTCCTGTTCCAGTTCGTTCTTCAGGCGCACGGCCTGCGAAATAGATGACAGCGAAAAGGCCGGCACGTTGCCGTACATGGCTCCCGAAGTGATAAGTCAGAAAGCTTATGGTCGATCCATGGATTGGTGGTCGATGGGAGTGACGCTATTCAAGTTGATGATCGGCAGAGTGCCCTTCAGATCACAAGATGAAGCAGCTCTCAAGGTTGAAATCTCAACATCCCTACCTCCGACCCTTATCGGGTCTGTTGACGTACGGTCGAGATGACGCCAACCACTCTTGACTTCCGTCGCATTCCAGAACCAAATCTGCAACGATGAAGTCGACTTCCCTAGGTTCAAAGCCCACCGAGCTCAACCGGTGACTGTTGCGATGGAGCTGATCCGTGGCCTCCTTCAGAAGAAAGCCAGCGAGCGACTCGGTTCCGCAAGCTATCAAGAAATACTCGATTCCACATTTTTGGCGCCGATCGATTGGTGTTGGCTCGCCACCTCCTCTGAAGTCCTCAAATTGACCTCGTTCGCTCGACTGAGTGAGCCGAAGACCGGTAAGAGGAATAGATCGAAAACTCACTCTGGCGATATCAAATGGTCCCCTGAAGCCTCCGCAGCAACAAAGCAGCGGCAGCACATCAAACTACAAGAGCTCAGAGGTACGTCGGATCGTGTACTCGCGCAGCCTTTTCCAGAGCGTGACTTCGTGAATGCAGAATGAGACCGAATCTGACCTTCCATACAGATAAACAAGAGAACCAACAGCCCCTCTTCACGTATGTCTCGAGCGCGTTCCGGGACACCATGCGGACTGGGTTACCACCCAGAAGTACAAACTCGACGGCGATACTGAAAACCATCCGGAAATACGCCATGGCTCGAGTGTTTGACCTGAACAGCACGAAAACCTTGAATCCACTGCAGGCCGAAAGACTGGATCTTGCAGTCATGAAAGCGCGATCGTCGCGTTTGGGAGCCAAATTACAGCCAACATTGAGTGATGGCGGCCGTATCTACTATGTTGTCACACATATTAAAGCGAGCGACCCAACAGCCGTAAGTCAGTTTCCGATTGATTCGAGTTCGTGGACAGTTAGGGCCTCCCTTACCCCATGAGTGAAATTTCCGAGTCCTCCAGCAATCAGGTCTCTTGGAAGGTGATGTCGTGACAGCTATTAACGGAATACCAATCATTGACGCGACCAAGCAAACGATAGAATCGTTGCTCTCGTCTCCGGTGGATGAAGTTTTCGTGAGCGTCCTGAGCTCAAACATAGTCCGCGCCATGAATACTCGCGTGGACATGCATCAAGTTATCGCCGTGTCAAAGACCATAGAAGTGACCTACACGAACTCCCCGATCCAGAGCGACATTCAAGTGCGACTCGTGAAATACTACGATCTGAAAACCAAGACCCACATGAAGGCCCATGTTCTGTTCTATGTACCTTTGGAGCTGGTCTGCGGGATGTACGTCGGAGATGTGATCCTCGGCGTGAACGGCATGCAGGCGATGCACATGACTGCAGAGGAGCTCCAGCAGTATGGTCTCGCGCAATTTCCCGATGAGTTTTCGAAACACTCTTCAATCACTAGGATATCTATCTTTGAATAGACTTCGAGATGGAGCTCTTCTCGAAATTTCAGAAGGATGAGTGAGCCCAACGCCGTACGCACGCTGACTATAGTTCCTGTATCTGGCCTCCGTAACGAACGATTATTCTTGGATCGTCTGCTGCGAGCATATGACGGCTCGTTCGTGTCGGTATTGAGGGAGACACCCGACGTCAAAGCGTTCGTGGACCGAAGTGTCGTCGAGGATGAAGATACGCGATCGGAAATGCGTTCAGACATGCGCTCAGTTTGATGTTGATTGATCGATAAACTTGGGATGACAAATGAATTCATGAACACGAATTCCGTCCGATGCCGGGGCTTCGCGCCGCTTGAGACCGATGACGGGTTATTCTTCACCCTCAACACATGAACATCGATTGGGGAAAATGGATTGATAGAGCGCTCAACTTTACATAAACGGAACGTTCGTTTATTACATATCCGTTTAACGGTATGATTTCTGGTACCTGGCGCGGGCACCCGGTCCACCGAATTTCTTGGGTTCGCATCTTCGAGGATCAGCCACGAGAAGGGTTTTGTCGTACTGAGCGAGGATGTCTTTCAACTCCTTCTTGGTGGCCTCATCGACGTACTTCTGGTAGAAAGCAACAATAGCCTTCGAGATGCATTGACGGATTGCGTACACGCGGGAGACGTTACCTCCACCCTTGACGCGAACACGGATGTCCAGCTGGTTGAAGCGGTCGCGACCAAGAAGAAGAATTGGCTCCATCAGCTTGTACCTTCGGACGAGACATGGGAAAGTTATTCGAGGTTACGTTGGGAGCTCGGCAGAGCTCGCGAGCGAGTCCTCGGAGACGCGATCCCTAGTTTCGAGTCGAGCTGCGCGGAGCTAATTTGCGAGAGTTGTTCTGAACAATTCTTATGGTGTACACACCTGAGCGTCGATGGCTCGAGGAGATCGAGGGGCTTGCCGTTAACTCTGAGCACACCATTGCCAGCCGTACAGTGAGCAACTGCGATAGCGGTCTTCTTCCGTCCGAAGACTTGGACAACCTTGCCAGGTTCCTTGGTGCTCGACATCTGGGGGAAAATTACATCTTCATCTTCCACCGTTCATCAGAGCGACAACTTACAGGAGCTGTTTTATGTCGAGTTCAGCGCGCTGTCTAATAAGGAAATCTCGATCGGGGAATGATCGCAGGGGTCGGAGGGGAGCCCTCGGACTTCGATCCCAGGGAACCGGGCCACGGAAAGCGGATCTTCGATCAGTAAGATCACGAGCTCTCTTATAGAATTTCCGCGGCAGCAAGCACGTGGTTGGCAAACTTCACATCTTCCCGCACTCCACTGGTTCGGATCGAACGCGAATTTCTCAGCCAGGATATCACCAACGGCTCCGCATCAGTCGGCCCACAGGGTGGGACGACGGAGTTCGGCGTACGGATCAATCCCTAGGTTAACGAAATTCCCAGGACGGAGCCAATGCGGTATGCCGCTTCCATCATCAAAACATTGATCTTTTTCGACGAAAATCACGAAGCTCCCTTCAGAACTCCGGTTGCAGTCCACCCACAAGGTCTGGAGTCTCACTCACTGACGGAATAAATTACGAAGAAGCTATTTCTCGCAGAAAATTCTACCTTTTCCTGTGTAACCCACGCGACGTGGCTTCAGAGCCAGAGAAAGGATCGCCGCCGTTTCGAAACCACCCGAACTGCGGTCGGCGGAACGTACCACTCGTGGTACGAAAACACGACCGACGGGCGATGGGTTCGAATATGATGATGTTCAGCCGCGAAATTCAAAAAGTTCCATATGATCAGAGAACCCGACAAGCCTCTCGCGATTTCACTATGTATGTTGAGCATCACTATCAGATTACGCTGTCGATTGGCAGGCCTCGACCCCGTCAGACGATCTGTGCATCCGTACCTCCAACGATGGAGAGATGATCAGATCCGCGCTAGTAGACTATGAGAGCGATCCGTGGTGAAGGGTTTCGCAAGTGAGTAGCAGCATAGAGTATCCCATTCAACCGGCTGCTCGAGATTGCCTCTGACAACCTCTCTCATGAATGCATGCCGACACTCCTATTCCAGAAGCGTTGGTCAGAGCTTGAGACACTGTCTCGAATCGTGAAGTGAGTGATTTGATGACCTTTTGTTCTCGGACAATCGGCTTGCGTAACTCGTGAAGATCAGATCCCTTCCCTTGCGAAGCAATGCACTCAACTCCAACATGGGTTTTCGGCTACGGTTCCATAATTTGGAAAGTTGACTTTGAGGTCACTGAATCTCTCGTCGGCTATATCGATGGTTTCGTCCGGAGATTCTACCAAGGCTCGACCGATCACAGGTGAGCGCGATCCGAACGAGCGAGCGTTTCTCGATTTTCCTCTCTCGACGCATTCGATCGATGATCGATAAGTTCTGTCGAAATGAGTGAATTTGGGTAAGACTTCGATGCTTCTCAGAGGGACACCGGAGAAACCAGGCCGCGTCGTGACGCTCCTGCCATCGACCAGGTCGGACGAGAAAGTCTGGGGAGTCGCTTACCGGATTCCGGACGAAAAGGTCGGTCGAATCTTGTGTATATGTTTTCCTGAACCAAGGAAATCCATAGAAAACGTGTTTCGGGGATGATCGGCTTCACCTCGATTACCCTCCATGTTCCGGATTCCAGACTCAAGAAACCTTGGCTCACTTGGACTATAGAGAAAAAGGCGGTTTCACGCGATCGACCACCATTTTCTATCCGCGTGACTCTCGGCGCGAGCCCTTCAGGATCATAGTTTACGTCGCTGTCGAAGGGAATATTAATTATCTGGGTGAGGTGATTTTCTAATGGACTCGCCTATTCGATTTATATGGCCAGCTGCCGTTGCTTTCCGGGAATCGTGTTGTCTTTGCTCATGGAGTGCCCAATCTTCAAGGACCCGCTCCGCTGGATGAAATGGCGAGAACTATCGCCTTCACGCGCGGTCCATCCGGACCGAACATCGATTATCTCATGAATCTATGCGATTCGATGCGCAAAATCGCGCCTGGGGTGATCGACGAGCACTTGAATACTTTGGAGGAAGCTGTCAAGGTGGCGATCAGTGAAAAACGGATCGACGAGAATCCTCATCGTGAGTCGTGCTAGGGCACAGATCCGTGACGCGAGAGCCATCAGAGAGACAGACCGGGAGCCCCTCCGCGCGCCAGATTTCCTTTGACAGCTCGCCGTACATCTTTCCATTTGCTGTCCAGAATGTTTTGAATGTTTGCCACCCGGACCCAGTGACTCCTCGACCGGACCAGCGGTGGACTACTAGGTTAATTTACTGCAATTGACTCAATGAAACCAAGAGGTATCTCTGTTCGAGAGAATCGGGCGGAGACTGATTCAATGAAATGAGCTCGTCCCGAGCATCTCTTCGACCTTTTCTCTTTTCATCGGAAGTCAGACTGTCGAGTATCGATCGCCCTGCCTAACTCCAAACATCAAGACTGAATGATAATCGAAGCAATAGTTCAAGGGGATGTGCACTTTTTATTGGGTAACTTCAAGGCCGTTTTGTGGTGAGGTCAGAGGCCTGGAATTATCGAACTAGTACATGGAATTCCCATGCTAATATCAACTATCAGAGAATGACAGAGATATCGATGATGGGAGAGAAGTCGAAGCCCCCCCACGCATCGTTTATGAGAAAGATAAGTGGTCGACGTGCTCTATCACTATGAGATCAGAGAACTCTGCCTTCAGGAATGGCAGGTGTCTCCATTGGGAAAAGGAGAAACGAGGAAAACTGAGCTCCGTGCTCGTTCGCGCGGGCTCTCGTAACAAAGCTTCTATCAATGTAATGATATAACACATGGTATTTACAAACAGTAGCAGCAGGAATAATGAAAAAAGTAGGCGAGGAGTTCCGATGTTGAGAGGTTTTAGCGGTTCTTCGGATCCGCTAGCGGAAGCAATAAGCAGCATTCAACCGGCGCTCATGTGCCTCAATCTCGATACTGTACGAGTCGATCGAGCGCCCATGTCGGGGCTCGACACGTCTGCAAATGAATTCCGATCCTCCAGTCGAACGCGACTCCTCTCACGTCAAGTACTTCGTCATGTTACTTCTATTCACGCCTGAATGACTCCGCAGTTCACGGTATCGATGCGATTTAAAGTAATATCGTTCCATGCAGCATCCGTTATTCTGTCGAGATAGAGGTGCCAGCTCCACAGATCTCTCGAGCGTCGGCGAAATTGTCTGACCGACGTGAAATGTCGCAGGATTCGCGACATCCACGACAGAAGGTCTACTACTCATACATATAATGAACATGTCGTGCTTATCGTCATTTATACTTCCACAAGAAGCGTGAAATTTTCGAGACTTTCGGACTCAAACTGCCCATTGAACCGATGCACCTCTGGACGAATGATCTTCCTCTTCTTCCTCACTCCCACACAGTGTTATTAGCGTTTGTCCTAGTCTAGAGGGAGGTTCTGCGCTTCTCGGAAACTAACGCTATCTTCAACCGGGCCAAACCTCTAAACAAGCTCCTGTCTGAACGTGAGCAGCACCCGAAATTATCAAGCAGAGAAAAATGCATTGTTCCTCGACGTCGTTCTGCAAGACCGTTTCGAGAGCTACTCGTGTCTCCTTTTTCCTGTCGAGTGTACTCTTCCTTGCGCTTGAACCCGCATCCCGCTCCCACATGAACATTGCTCAATACTCGCACATAGATTCGACCCGTTATTGTAGGTTCCGTCTGCGTATTCGTCACTTGTTTCAGGATTCAAAAGACATTTGCTCGAGTCGAGAATTTTCTCTCTTCTCGAACCGCACGCTTGACGCCGAAATTCATCCAGCTCTGCGCTCCCGATGCAAATCATGATAGAGACAATGTAGGTGGTTGGGGGCGTATTGGCTCCATGATGCCTACAGATAGTTGCCGTTATTGATGAAGAGGGCGCTGTGCGAGGGTAACATAGCGTTTGTCGATGCTCTAAAGTAATCTACGGAGGTGTACAGAGGTCAGTCTTGCCCGAGAAATCGATTATAGCCATGCGCTCCGGAAAAAATCACGTCCACCCAAACACGCATTGCTTCCGGAGACGTCGACGAAAGGTGATATACGCGGTCGAGCGTCTTCACGCAAAATGCAGCCATTTTCTTATTGCCATGGTCTACGTAAACGTCATCGATCGACTCGAAGTGGATAAGGCCTGAAATGAGACAGCACCGAGTGAGATGAAGGTCGCAACCTCCAGGAGAGAGGCGAATGTTTTTCAGTGTCGTCCTGCGAGGGAAATTCCATCCGAGGGATACCGTGCACACAGAGTGAGAGGCGTGGGATTGTCTTTACCTTTCAGTTTGCGTTCGGTTTTGTCCATGAAGTACATGAGGGCTCGGCTGGACCGATCGAAGAGGAACCATCGCTTTTTCCACCATCGGCTCGCGCTCCCGAGTTTGTAGAGATACCCACGGCAGCTGTTGGTATCCACGACCACATCGGTCGCACACATCTCCAGTTGATGGCCACAACTAGCAATATGAACCCGCAAGTCGAAGTGGCCTTGGTCGGGGAACACCGGCAGATAACAAGTCAGCGGGCGCTGACTAACTCGGCGATTGTTGTTGCGAAGCGAGACCCCCATTTGGCCGAGAGCGGCGCTGGTCTTCGGTGAAAATAGCTCCTCGGACTCGGTCGATGACGACACCATCTCCGATCCACAATTGGACTGAAATCAAAGCATTCATTATCGGGCTTCCGTAGCTCGGAGCGTTTTTTCTACGCCCCGTTCTATCGCTCCTCGCGAGGCTACGCGGAAGCTACTTCAATGGGGAGCGTCGTGGCCGTAGTTTGTCTCCACGATTCGACTCTGCTCCGGGAAGGGATGAGGCGTGTTCGTCGGAGATAAGCGGGCCGGCAGGAACGTATTATAGGACTTATAACTCACATGTTGATATTCAGACTCGGTATCGGATTCGCTCCCCGATAGAGATTCCGAGTCCAGGCTGGACTGTTGTTGCTGCTGCACGACCTTGAGGTTGTTCTGGTGACTCCGTTGCTGGTCTTCCCAGTTCCGTTTCTTCGATTCCAGCTCCTCGGCAATGGCCTTCTGCTGAAGCTGGAGCTCCTGAATTCGTTGCTCTTTCTGTTCTATCAGACGGCCCATCATCACAACTCGCTGGTTGACCTAGGGAATGGAATTCTGATAAAAAATCGATCCGTGCCGAGCCGTGGGGAGTTTCACGTTTTTCGGTCCGCTCCGTCTTCCTCGAATGGTCATCCGAATTCCTGAACTTCGACGGTACCAGTACTCCCAATAGAAAGCCTTCTCGGTGGCCGAGGTGGACGCACTAGGTCTAAGTAGTGAGGTCACGGATCAGCAGGTCATAATGAAGTCGCTCACCTCTTCGATTCGTTCCTCTCGTCGGGCAGTGCTCTCCATTATCTGGAACTCGAGGTCTTCGTAAGCTCGCTTCTCGGCTTCGAGACATTCGACCTCGTTCTCCAGACGTTCAGAGATCTCTCTCTCCAGGATCGGGGATACGGGGTCGTCCAAAGTCTCCGCCATCTTGACCGTAAGTTCCTGTTGAGAAATTCACAACTAATTCAGTCACTTCCGTCCCCTACGACGTCTTATTGAACGGGGGGACACTGCTCCGTTAGGTGGGGTAACTCTTTCATTGGAAAGGTGGAGTCTTCCCTCCGTGAGGAGCGTTTTTCTCACGGAGTACTGAGAAGGATTAAGATCCTTCGCCTCATTAACACTCCGTGGGGTATATCCTCGAGGCCTTCTCCTCCCGCTTCTCGTTCTATTCAGGCCGCCGGTCCGCCCCGCCTTGCCAACCAAGAATCTCGGTAGGCTCGGGAGTTTGACGGGATTTTCGACTTTCACTAGAGTGTTTTCTCGAAGCAATGAATTAACTTTCAAAAATTAACCCGACGACCCGACTGAAAACCGATCTTCATTCGAGGAATCGGCAGCTGGAACCCACCTGCCATTTGAAGATCCTTTCACCGGCCAGCTGCAGTCGGCTCTGCTCGTCGTCCTTCTCGCGCATGGTTTCGTCAAGGAGTATTTCTTGTTCAGCCTCGAGTTTCCCGTATTGTATGAGGTCTTCCTTGAGAGAGAACTGCTCGTCACACAGTTCTCCCGTAACGAGAGCGAGCTCCATCTGCAGTTCGTCCAACTGCTCCTTGAACGCTGCTTCCAGCTGCATGAATTGTGACTGCAACAATGAAGCTTGAGCCGCGTGGATGTGGGCCGCCATCTTTTGAAGCGATGTCGACCGTTGGGGGGCGAGCTTTTCCTTTGAAGTTTTATTGTCGTTCCTCTGCCCGTTTGTTGGTGTCGTTGTCGCAGTTGAGGAAATCGTCCTGAAATCTATGGCGACCGCTCCGTTCGCCAAATTGTCCTGCAATCGACGAGAGATCTGCTATTCGGAGTTCTCCGCTTCGTGGACACTCGCTCGATCATGTATTCTTAGCGAGTGTCCTGGGAAGAAATCGACTGCGATTCTGAAGTACTCACCTTCGGCGAGGAAATACCGGGAACGGTTTTGATTCGGTTGCGGGGACTTTGCGGCGGGCTCGAGGGTGACATCGGGGTGGGAACCACGGATTCCTTGCCGTTGTTAATGGCCGTCAATTCATCCTCGGAGGAAGGCGTGGTGGCTTTGAATGAACCATTTGTCTTTATCTTGGTCGATGGTGATTTACGACTCGTTCGCGGGGACTTGAGCTGGCCGGGAGGCGACGTTACGTTCGAGGTCGACACGAATTTCGCGCACATGTTGATGATGTCCTCGAGTCGCTGTCGAGCGTCGCGTTCTTCTTCCTGCTCCTGGAGGCGTTCCTGGACCACCTGCAATTTTTCCCGCCCGTCTTACAAAAGATCCTCGCTTCTCTGCCGAGTTTTCGCGCCTCGTTAAACACCAGATCAAGCGCGAATTGCTCTTTTCCACGAGGGACACAAGGGTACGCGACGAGTTCACGGCTCGATTTGAACTATTCCAGGTGTTCTACGGGAGCCACCGCCGCGAGGATGTGAGTTACGACTGCCATCTCAGTCCGCTGCTTCTGCAGACGCTAGTTGATTGTATCGCGCATCAACTTGCTGGATTACACGGATGATTTGGAAGTAGAACTCATCTCCAGCTCTCGCTACTAAGGTAACTCGGACCAGCGAGGCCAGAGCTCAGCCAACAGAATGGGAGCACTACGAACTTCGTATGGGCCCGACGGTGCGCACAGCTACGTTCAAACCGATGAGTAAAGTCTAAAATTAACAATGACTCTGCAGACTGGACCTCGTCGTTCACTTCTCTCCCTTCCGGGAAGTATCGATCGGTGAAGGCGCCCTCAAAATCAGTCGTTTCCACCTCAGCGAGCGAGCGCGTCATATGACCGGGGACTCTTCTCCGAAATGTGTATAACCACAGAACCACCGTAGCCGATCGACCGTGGAACTCGTCCGAGTCCACTCGGAAAACGAATCGAAGAAATGGATCGGAACATGGAAATCTGCTGTTGCAGAATGCGCTCGAATCTCTCGGGCAGTCAGCGGGCAGCCTGGTGGTTTCCGTCGACTAGTACGATGCGAACCTTACTTTGGAAGAATCGTTCTAAAGGGGCGCCTTGGAACTGTTTAGATCGTATCGAGGACACGCAGCGCTCACTCTACGGCCGCGCCAGTCGTTCTGTCTGGTCGGTCGACGGGCCGACCGGCCGCCAAGCCGTTCGGTTAACAGGCTGTCCGACTAACTGGCCTTTTCGCAGTCTCTCAGCGCTTCGCTTACCGTCAGCGAGGAAAATCCAGGCGGATACCGGAGCAACAGGACGAGTGTCCAGCCGCCCGCTCACTCGACGGATATTCGGTCCACGTAATGCTCGGTGGAACCGTCGTCGTTTCTTGCTAGCACTCACTCGCTGCGTGAACCACTCGAAGAACGGGAGGAAGACGTCATCGATGGCGACGGCGCGGCGGTGGCGGCGGCGGCGTGAGGAAACGGCATGGCAAGCTGGCCCAGGAGACGAGAGCCCGAATTCGGAATTGGAGGAATCAAAATCGCCTGTCAGGGCGCCTTCCGTCCCGGTACGGAAGAGACGAAATGTCTCAAACGATAGAGATGATGAATCCCTTGCAGCAGATGTGCCGTACGTAAGAAACTAAATCGCCGGTGAATCAGCTTGTAGTCCCACAGGTAGTCGTCGAGCCCCATGGAGACGGGGAAAGACGCCGGAATTCGAGCACGAATGAAATTTCATCCTTACCTTGCGATGTTGCTCTGTGAGTTCCTCCTCTCGCTGTCGGAGCTGCTCCGACGACGCACTCCCAGCGAGTCCCATGAGGTCGTGGGCGGATAGGGAACACAGCGGCGCCGGTTCCGGAATCGGTGCTTTATCGAACCTCGGCAACGAGAAACACCTGGGAAGGATCTCGAAACATTACTCATTGAGCTCAATGGGATCGGGCTAAATACGTTGCTCCGGATCTCATTGACTAGGGCCGGCAAACCTCGAGCCTCGACAGATCGGTCTGTCCCGAGGCTCCATCTATTAGTCTATTGTGTCGAGGGAGCCTCGTTACGTCAAAACCACGCAGAGAGCTTTACTCCGATCGGGACTAGTCTTCTATTAGGTATCTGTTTAGTTTGCGAGTCCGTTTCTCATTCTCCCTGTACCGCCGATTCCCCGGGAACGACGAGAGCTTCGACGACGGAGACGACGGTCTTGAACACCCAACGCACACAGAGGTTCTCCAGCAATCGGAGTTGATTGCACTGTTCGCGAATATACCGCTTTCCTTTTCGCTTTCTTCCTGATGAATGACGGACGAGGAATTCAATCAGGTCAAAGCCAAACACGGTAAGGCCGGATTCCATCGTAAAGATACCCCGAACTAGTCGTCAGCCGACCAACCGACTGGCTGTCTGCCCATCTGTCGCCTAGCGTCTGTCCGTTCGTCCGTCAGTCATTGCGACGTATGAAACGTTGGGCCGGATAAGGTAGGATTGGACTGCGTAAGTTCGGATCGAAAGCGGATTATAGCGGCCTGCCGCGAAGCAATCGTTCAGTCAATACGCCATTTGTCAATCGATCAGATGAGCCGAAATCAGAAGTCGTCAAAATCCTCTGTACGGCAGTGGTAGCAGGGAATCGTTACCATCAACGCGCCGTTGGAAATGATCCCGCGGTAAAAGCTTTTCCTGCATGGAGCTATAATATTAATAATTCGGCGTGCGTTGATGACCGAGCCGCAACTGGCCTATGCCTTCATCCGTCATGATTCGCAAACTGATTTGTTTTGCTCGTGCCCGCTTGCTTTATGGGTCGTAGTAATTGGCAGCAGCCAGGCATTTGCTGAAGGAAGAGTAGGAGCGAATTCGGCGTTAATCGACTAAAGGTTGAGCTTTCTCAGCATCATACGCGGGCTTCGCTTTCGCAGCAAACCTCGGCGTGGCGGGGGAAAAAATGAAAAAACGGAATTCCTACCATGCTCATGCGCGAAGAGAAAGAGCGAGCGGGCGGGCGAATGAGTAAACGAGCCTTGGTGACTAAGCAGAAATCATTTAGGGAGCTCGACGGCCAGACCAGCGGGGTGGAAGCGAAGTCGATTATCCATCTTGTTTATGAAGTCCGAAACTTCGCTCCATTTGCTTGTCATGATGGATCAAGGACGGAAATCGCACACGAAAAAATACGACTTCCCGTCATTCGATCAACGCTGCTTGAGTCGGATCATGAGGGACGGGCATGAACTTTGTTCTATAGGTAGCGTGAAGCCACACACACCACGCAAAGAGGCCACCAGAAGAGAAACTCTTCCGTCGACGTCAAGCTCCCAGATCGGAAATTTTTTCCCACCCTTAATGCAGGGCATGACGCACAACAGAGCCCCGGGCCAAACTGGGATGAAGCCTGGTGGGGGAGAGTGCCCTGATACGGGATAGCGCCTTGTATGGGGTACCCCCGTTGAACCCCCATTGGAGAAAGGAAAAGTGTCCCATATGAGGCGGGCAAAAAACCCTGTGTATCCCATATTAGGGCACTCTCCCCTATTGTCTATCCGAGCTTTAGACCCCGGAAAATATGGAATACTCCGATCCTCTCCATCATTCTCGCGGATCGGATGCCCCTCCTGACCGCAAGAAAAGCCGCATGGCAGTGAATCGCCTCTCGGAGTACCGCCGGAATGCAGACGACGCTCGTGGTGAATGCAACAATGCGGGCGATTTTACGGCGGCCGCTCAACTCTAGTATTTGGCCTTTTATGTTGATGGAATGCATGAGTACACCCGGTTTGGAAGCGTTTGTCTAGTGCCGCGCTCCGCGTTCCACGCAGTCCTCGCAAAAAGGATAGACTCGTAGCCGAGTTCCGTCGCAACACTTATTTGCACCGCTACAAGGGAGTTGAATACTCGGGCCCCGAGCCGCGGTCTAGACAAGTCCGAGCGTCGCTATCCCGCCTGAGTCACTTAAAGGTCCAGCGGGAAACGTCACGGCTCGAGCATGGGGAGTGTCCGCTCAAGAACCGCTCCGCATAGTGGTGAGGACGACATATACGGCGATCCCTGACTCACGTCAGCCTCGCGGATGGAGTCCGTCGTCTACGATGAGTAGCGGAATTATCAATATTCGGGACTGGAAGTCAAGGAGAGGCGAGCTCCATAGATCCCAGAAGATAGGAATCGTACGATTAGCGATCGATCAGGCGGGCCTCGCCGAAACGGATCGAAAATCGAAGTGACTCATGACATTTGATGTACGACGGGGGTGACGTCAGTTTCTATAACGGAGCTCGAGCACGTCCAAGTCAAATACGGTCGGGAGAGCTCAACGAAAGAGGAACTGGGCGTGATGCGACGGCAGAATGCGAACCTCTCGACGTCCAAGGGAAACTCCGACGTAGGAGTTTCGAGTTACGAGATCGATGTGATGGAAAATTGAGGATCTTGAACGCTGGATCCCAGATCTCAGGCACGAGCGGAATTCTCAGACTGTTCCGGACTAGCGCCTTCTGAATGAGCACCTCCCACGCGATCGAGGTCCGGTATGAATTCGAGACTACGCAGTGTGATACCCTGTCGGCGTTCGCCCACGAACGGCACTCACCTATATTCCTCTTCTTCGACGCCCTGCAGCGGTGACAGGATACTCTTGGGCATGAGATGGGGCTGGGGGTAGCTCTGGAGGCGGCTCCGTTGAGGAGTGACCTCGTACGCCGCCGGATTGACGAGGAATTCCACTGGAGACTCGCACGTCATCCTTTTCGTTCAGCGCACTGAACTGCAAAAATAACAATTTTCTCTTAGTTGCTTGTCGAACCGCCTGTCCAACAGTAGATGATAATCACGCCGCACCGTCATCAGCCGGCGAAAGTCCGACTCTCGATTTGTAGACACTGACAGCGTCGCCGGTCGCTTCGTCGATCTGAACAAATACGACAATCCGTTTAGCAGCCTGCAGCTACTGTGCGCTACCAGCGAGTTGCTGACGCAGATATCGGGCGAGACTACCAGCACCATGAAGCGTTCGCACATCTGGCAATGTTCAACATTCTGATCGGGGGAGCATCAAGCGGCCGACCGACTGATCGACCAACCGACCATCTCTTACCACAATAAGAGTCAGAGATCGTCCGGTGAAGCGAGAACCGACGCGGATAATAATCCGTTCCGAAGGAATAATCAACGGAACGATAGAATACAAATCTAGATCGCGCGGCGAATCTCTAACAGGGAAAAATTCAAAGCGAGCCCACGCGCGCTCAGACAACTGCACGACGACCTAGTTTGACGGCATGAAGCGCACGAGATATTGCTTCTTGTGCTAAGCGACAAGAGCACGAGCCAGTAGGAACACCTTATCATATGCACGCCGTGTACACGCGTGCCGGTCTGCCCTCCCGCCCGCCTGCCTGCCTGCCCGTCCAGCCATCCCCTCACCTGCCTACTGCCTACCAGATGGTTTACCAGCCTTGTCAACCACCGAGCGAAAGACCTTCGGAGAGCAAGAAGAGTTGACGTCAATGCAACTCTCTTGCACTAGATCTCGGTCGAGCAAGTGGCCTTCACTCCGAGTTGGCGGACGGTGATTTTACATACAGAGCACTTCGTCGGTGATGCGTTTGGCTCTGTGTTGGCCCCGCTTGTTTGGTAAGTCGCGGAAGCGCGTCTCGTCTAATCCAAATCTCAAACACGCCCGCCTAGACTCGCGCAATCGCTCTGCGAGAAACACCCGCGAGGAGAGGACCACCACGAGCACACGGTCGAGGGGACTGAGCGTGTTTCCAAAGATTAGTCGAAGGAATGATGAGCGAATAAGTGACAGCCACACAATGAAGTCAGGTGACTGACTGACCGGCTGACTGAGACTCCAGCTCGGGTCGGATCGGGAGGGGGCCTGTCGTTTAGGAGAACAATAATCAACGAGATTTCGAAGAGAAGCTGCCGACGACTTCCGATTACGATCGGCAGCACTCGGAAACGACTGATCGCTCAACTGGACGCGTCAATCAATAGGAGAGCCAGTCAATCAAAGCCACGCGAGGCGTACGTACTCGGAGTAGCGACGAATGCTGCTCAGTCGAGCGATTGTAGTCTAGTCGGATTAGATGTTCGAGCCGACCGCCGAATGCGGTTCCGACATCCTTACGTGTTTGCTCGCTTGCCTGACTGTCAGGCTCGCCGGCTGCTCGCGTGCTCGCAGAGGAAGCCTAGAAAAAATATTCGTCTCTTCGTCCCATCTCCTCTTCCACACGCGTCTCGCGTTCTTGCCGTGGTACGGGTTGTCATCCACAAGCGGAGCTCAAAAACGTTCCGATGGATCATACAACAACGTATTCCGCCGCCACCAGCACCGCTGACGGTTTCCAGTCGAACACGAAAAGTTTCCACGAACAATGCGGCGGCTGACGTCGTTGTGCGTCGGTATCGTACGTGGGTTGGATGCGGCGATGATACGGGTGGATCGCGGCCCGACTCGTCGACTTCCTCTGTCAGTTCCTAACTCAGGTCGTTAGGATTGCGAGCGGTGTTTCCAGTGGTCATTTGCCGAAAAATAATTTTCTCCCTCCGCGATCGTTTCCTCGCCGCTTCTACCCTTGCCCAAGTCGTCTGTCAAGGGAATGACGTCACCGCACCCGGCTCACTGAGGTAATTCGGGACCTGACTCCGATCGAAAATCCTTCGCCAATAAGAGCGGGCGACCGATTCTTCTCGAATTTACGCTCGTCGTCGCTGCCGTGGGTAGGGGCGGCCACCCACATTCCCCGCCCGCCTGCTCGCCGCTGCGACAACCGCTCCCAACAGCAGAGGAAATTATTTACAACGAGCAGTGTACCGGGATGGAAAAAAATGCCGCTCCTAAGGGTCGTGGGAAAACTGAGCGTGACGCCATCTAGTTCTCGATCCGATGAGCTCTGTCGTTGGGAGTCTTCCAGAAACGAATGAGCGGAGAAAACGAGATACGGAGAGAAACTTCGGCAATCGACCGAATAACAAGGATGTTCGTTGCGGTCGTACGAGATACCCATCTGCGTTCTGTTGTATATCGTTAGTGCCGCCGTGGGGACCCACTGACGTTGCGTCGAGCCGAAAACAGCTGTCTCAGTGTTTTAGCCGCGGCCGAGCATTTGATATCCACCGACGCCTGCGGCGTCGGCTGATCTTCATGTCGCACCCTCTCCGGCGTAAGGCGGAGCTTATGGCCAATTTATTTAATTGTTTCGAATGACAAGTCAGCGTAAATAAAAAATGGTATCGCTCAGGCACGGGGGAAAACGCGCGATACAACGGTATCGGGTTATTTCCGCACCTTCCATTTGCCGGCGGGGCTTCCGTTTGAATTTTTAAGCCTGGAGTTCCAGCTCCGTAATCATCATGAGCTTTGGGGACCGTTATAATAGAATTCACCGCGGACATAACGATAGGAGTATGTCCGTATCGGCTAGGCAGCTCCCCACGTCACGTAATCGAGTTACCCACGGTGGAGGCTCGCTGAAAGCTGCGGCAGTTCTGAGCATATATGAATCTGTTTCCCTTCAACCGAGCCGCTCGACTGGTGACTACTGTTATGCGGTGCAGGCCAACTGTAGCTATTACCCCGCATGGCCGATTCGAGCCGATAATGGACAACAATCTTCATTTGTCTACATTTGACTGCATTATCCACACACGCTAGCACGAGAAGCAGCCCCACACCGATGGGTCGTCGCGTGGATTATTTAGCGACGAAATTCATCGATTATGATTTACGGCAGCGTAAACACCGGGGAGCGGTGAACACCGAATCTTCACGCCGATTGACATCACAGAAGAAGCGGAACAAATTGGAGGCATCGCGATGATGGCGGATAAGAGCGAATCGCTTTTGAGCTGCGATTCGAATACGTGGATGGTTGAACCGCTGGAAAAAAAACGTTTCCGTCCGATATCGGTCCTATCCAAATCAAGCGCCCGGATGAATATCCGGACGCACTTCGAACTGCTCCGGCCTGAAATCCTGGTACGTCAGAAATTCGTCATACCGGACTTTCGGCTACAACGGAGCGATCGCTCGGTCCCGGACGGGTCCACGGGATCTTGGATCTTAGAATGACTCGACTATCGCGGACCCCATGACGGACATTCGGATATAAGAGACTGATCTCCGGGCCCCAGTCCTCCGTCCGCCGATGCTAATTGGATCGCTTGAAGAACCTATTCTTGTGAGTAGGGAATTCGGTAGCTATAGCTTATTGGACGATTTGAAAGGTTCGTCGCCCTTATGCGCGTCGCAAGAAAGGCTGCAGTGGTGTTCCCGATGTTTTTCCTGTTTCAATCCGGTGCCTCCAAATCCGCTAAAACGAGGTTCTACTGCGCTTGGCTCGACAGCGTGTCGCTTGAAATACGGAGCTCCCTCGATTGGCAAGATCCCGTGAACTTGGTAGAAACTCTTTCAGTCGGAGGACGCTCGAAGCGCCTTGGGAAAATTCGGCGAAATGAACTTCGGAGAGCGTCTCGAAGATGAGGGAGCTCTTGAAGTCGGCTCCCTTGTCCAAGATGCTCTCCCCCTCCCTCATTTAGTGTGTGTTTCAGCGGAACAATGGATTCCTAATGGCCCGAACGGGGCTTGGCCATTGCGTCAAAGTAGCTCACTTCAAAGCTGCCGATAGGTTCTCAAGATATCAAACTCAACGTTGTGGTCTCGACGCGCCGAGACGCATTTTCCTTGTGGAATCGGATTTGTCTCGATGGACCAGTGGCGAAGGTCACCAAAAGTCGAATGAATCGCCGAGGCTATCCCCCTAAGAAGAACAACAAACTTTGGCACAAGTCCTCGGGGTAGAAGAATCGTCGTCGATGGAAGAGGAAAAACACCGAAATATTCTGCAAATGGCAAAGCACGGCCTTGTCTGGAAAAGGCACCGACGCGACGTTCCGGCAGTAGGCGAGACATTGGGTGCTCACTCGGGTCGGGTGTGATCCCACGGTGAACGAAAGCCGGCAAGGAATCTAGAGCTCTCCAGTGCTTCGAGATAATTGGATATCGTTCCGTGTTTGGATCGACTGCTCTTTCTCGTACAAACGACAAACAGCGCATCCGTTTCCGTCCGCCCAACAAGCAGCCGCCCTCGAAAACTGTTGACACAGTGGAATATATTCATGAAGTCGATCCACGGCAAGGTTCCCCAGAACCGTCGTAGGTGTTACGCGGACGCATTCAGCGGGAACACCAAGTCCAGATTGAATATCTGAGTGTGACTTTCCGACACATGGTGATTGGCTCGGCTTTACCGGAACACGTTTTCGAGAGTGCAGCGCGGGGCGGGTATTCTCCTTCTCGGCTTGGAACCTTGAGATGACCTCCGGCCTGAGAGGACTTTTATCGCTCAGAATGGAACTAGACTTCGGAAAGTCATCATTAAACACCTGTAATATTCGCTCCTGCCTGCTCGCTGATCACGATAACGCGAGCGCTACGACTATGAAATTTATATGAAGCTCATGAATTCAATTATTCAACGAGCTCGAGCTAATATGCTCTGCGAGAGATCATAGAGTCGGAACGGAACGCAGACAGCTTCAATGGGGAAGGATTCGTTCCGAGCTGAAGCCTTCCAAGAATCGTTCCGAATTTTACATCGAAGCAGATAAAGCTCCTTCGTTCCGGTCACGATGAATCCGCAGTAGGACTCGAAGGCTCTGAGAAGCCCGAAAGTACTCGTGATCGAAGTCGCACACGAATAACCTGGAAGCGTGCTTCTGTACCATCGGGGACGATCATCCCGAGGCAATCAGGGACAGCCTTCCCGTACCGATCGACCTATCGCTGTAGGAGTACTCCATGTCCGAACGACGTAATTTTTTACGGGAGCTGAGACTTTTCGGAAATCGAACAAAAACTTCTACCTCATGAGAAATCGAAGCAAGTACCCGCTCGCGAAGTCGTTATATTGCCGAAAACACAGAAAACGGCTCAAGCATCCACTGAAAAATGCCGAATTGAATACGTTCCGATGCATTTTTTCTTCGATCGACGAACGGCGGATTCTACGCCTTCATCTCCTCCGGTACACTGACTATACGGTGGCGAATCGGTTGCTAGCTCACCCGATCGCTTTGTAGGGAAATATCAGACAACAACGAAATCACGTTTTCCACCCGCGGTTCACGGCATCTGTCGATTGGACAAGCCCTCGATGACCGGTGTCGTCAGAGAGAAAACAAAACCTCTTCGCAGATGAGAATTCAGTGGTCGAGAGAAGCTACCGTTTCCCTGAGTCGGTACGAGGGCTTGTTTAAATCACTCGGGACGCAACTGTCAATCAGCTGCTGTTCGCGCCTTGATGATCGATTGGGACCGAAATCTCACTCGACGCACCTCTCTAGTCGCTTCTTCCGAAAACCTTGTAATCCATCCACTTGGAATGGAGTTTGTTTTCTGGGCGTTTCGTCCGCAATCGCCGGGATCGCTGCCTTCGCTTCGAGTTCTCCGAAAAAACAATCCTCAATAAGCAAGGATCCTTAGCATTGCTTGAGCGTGAATTGGAGACGAACGGGAAGGAAACATCCGGATCGTGAAGACTCACTCAAACGCAGAGCCGATGACTGGTTGAAGTTCCTCAACACGTTTCAGAAGAGTGCCTCAATTCTCTGTACTTCTCATGGTTCTTGTTCCCCTCTGATACGCTGGGCGGTTGACTCCTTCGCCCTGAGTAGAATCCACTCGAAGAGGCTCTTCGTTGAAGTCATGAATCATCCGGAACAGTCTCAGGCCGAAAACTTTTTGGGTTCAACTCCTCCACCCGATCGAGGTCCCGAGGTCGCAGTCGCAGCTCAGCCGAGTCAGTTAGTCATCTCTCAGAGCACAGAACGGGGTAATCATTCGAGCCGGGGATCGCACATGCAAACATCCCAGGAGACCACTTTCGGGCCTTAGTGATCCCGACGTCGAAATTCGACACACTACCACACTGATGCGCCCCTTCGCGGGAACTGCTAGGTAGACCCTTGATGTCGACGAGCACGACTGGAACCGCGAGAGCTAACTGTCAGAGAGGGCCCGCTCAAGTGGCTGCTTGATTGCATACAAAACACATCGAGAGAGGCCTCACTTACACCAACAACAACAGCAACATCACCCTCTGCCGCGGAAGCTTCGACCACCACCGCAGTGTCAGCGACGAAGATCACTGAAACTGCGCCAAGACTTCGGTGTATCCGTCTGGCGGCCCTCGGAGTAATCCGGCTCACTCGGTAGACACAGAAGCGCACCCGCAAGCGAGCGATTCCAACGAAAAAGCGCAATCGAACGAAAAAATAAGCGATTTGGAACAAGCACTTCGCTCGCTCGGCCTTGGCAAAGGCCGAGCCATGGAGACGTTGTGTTTTTCTAGAATTTTTCTCGAGTCCTGTCGCTTACCTGGAGCTTGAAGAAGGGAGGAGCTTCCTACATAGCCCGGCACAGAAGTTTGAAGGAGTAATCGATGAGATACGGGGAAGTTCCCAGATAGAGTTCCACGGGAAGTACGATCCACACGCGAGACTTCGCCTCTGGCTGGCAGTCACCTCTCTTGCTTTGGTTATGGCGACCCCACGGCTCTCACACACCACCACTAGGGTGGGGGGAGCTACGGAACAGCAGCGCGCCCTATTCGCGTTCTCAAATTTGTAGGTTTTCGAGCATAATTCAGCGCAAGTTTCCTCAGTCTTCCTCCGAGAACTCTCCGCATGAATTAAAATCCACTATTTCCCAACGATCTCCAGTGAAAAATCATTTCGGGAGAGGATGAGCATGAGCGAAATGGACGCCGAGGGCATCTAGCCGGCGGAGCGAGGTGTGTGTGGTGCGCTCTCGGACGAAAGTCTACAGACGTCGGCAGCAGCAGCGGCGGCCGCACTGAATCTCAGGACGACAACAACAATGGACCGACATGGAACGTCAACGCGCACCCCAACCACGCAGTGAAGGCTATGGATGTACCGAGTCGTTGTAAGATCCCGGCTAGAATGTTAGCCGAAAGTGAGGGCTAGAACATGCCCAAGAAAAATTCGGACACACCTAGTTCCAAGCTCACAGGTAAGCGTAGCGCAAACGGCACTGGGCATCGGTGACAAAACGGGCGCGATTGGATCGAACGCTGCCCGTCGAGTTTATCATCTGCGGTGAGAGAGCGACCCGTATTATTATAATCTTCCGGAGTTGACGCTCGAATCATTCGTACAGTGTCTACTGTCGCCGGACAGTGTCGTAGGCAGACGGACCGGCTGATCGAATCGTACATCGTTCGGTTAACCTTTGAAAGTGGGTCGTCTTCGATGTCCCGACATCGATGGGTGTCAGCCAGTGGAGTGAGTGTTCGGTGAAGTTTCGAAAACGTCTGGGGTTCCGGGTGTCCTGCCGGGGGTGCCGAAGGAAAAAAAGCTTTTCCGGAAGTCCACGCGGAGTCCGACCGCGCCTTTTCCAGGCCACCTCGATGCTTCCGAGCTTCACGAGGGCAATTCTTCTCGAGGATCGAATCACCACTGTCACTGAGACGAAGATTTTCGAGCTCGCTCAGCTGATCGGCTTCTATGGATCGTGCTTCCACGAGGGACACATGTGCTCAAGGTGTTCTTTTTCTATTATTATTTGTGTCACCGACAGAGCCGTATCATGTCTTGTGAGTCGCCCGGCTCAACAGGGTCTTTGTGAACGATTCGGTTTCTGTCCGAAGGTGCTCGTTGTCTTCGCTGACCTTGGGCGTAGAATGGACATTGAATCTCCCTCATTGGTCCTCTCTGTGCTGTAATTTTATCTCGTCCGTCGGGGCAAAAAATCGGTCCCACGCGGACCACGGGAGGCAGCACATACCTCGGACCCCTCTGATACTGCCAGATTCGAACCCAGGATAAGAAGTCATGGCTGAAACCGCGTGCCCGACGATGCCGTGACCACGTCAGGATTTCGAAAGTCGTTTTGAGTCTTACGCTGATTCATTCGCTGCTTTTCGTTTCGCTGTCAGATGATGCTGCTGTCGTCGACGACGTCGTCATCACGAATTCCTTCGTTCGCACGGCGACGAGCGGCGGGCTTTCCTCAATGGGCGATCTGTTGAGATCGGATTGCATCACAGACAACGGAGACATTGTACCACTTTCAATGATTCTGCTCGACCTTCGACTCAGCAGCACCGGGAAGCATCGTCTCCGGCGAATAAAACCGGATCGGTGGCAGCATGGGGCTTCCAGAGCGGGAAAAGCTGGAAGGGGAGGGAGGGGGGGGGCGAGACCACTCGATTCGATAGCAGAGGAGCGACAGCCAAAGCCGGGTTTCCCCGTTCGAAGCAATCGGGCTGTTGAATAGGAGATCGGGGTGGACAGGGTGAGAAGAGCGAGGCACTCAATTGAAGCAATCCCATCGAAATTGCAGCTTGGAAGGGCGGAGGTCGTCTGGCCCGTAGAGCAAGGTCCTTCAAGCAAGAACTTGTTGGAAGGATCAACCAGCTACGTCCGGGCAATCTCCGGCCAGGCTATGGAGGCAAGAACGGAATCAATTCGAAAGAACTCCTCAGCACCTCGCTCGACGAACATCCGATCGACGCGTCTCAAAGGGTAAGCTTCACGGATCACTCTACTCTTTACTTCATATGGTCACAACTATCTTCGCATGGCTGCCTTTTATCTGATGGATCCTGCCGGATTTAACCCCGCTGTGGCTAGCGATAATCCCCGCAATACTACTTATTACCGAATGAAAATTTGAATTCACGTACAATCATGCATGAGCGGCTTTTGTCGCTCATTCGAGAGACGACCTTGTCCGGCTTGATCGATGGCGCGCTGGACGTTCCCGTTCAATGGCTCGGTTGGTAGTCTTCCGTAATCATGGCTATCAGTCAGAATACAACTGTTCAGAGTAGGGTGAACGTAAATAGAAAAGTACGAGCGCGGGCAAACATTCAATCATAGAGTCGACGACAGTTCGTGGGTCTCCCTCCTCCGTGAATTTGTTTTCGTTCATGAGGTCACGCAGACTTATCCGCCGAGTGTGTCATTATTCCAGAGCGGGTGTTTGAATATTTTTGTCATTCGTCTCGCGCAGATCGGGTGGCGCTTCGTCGAAAGACTAGAGAATAATCTAGGTATAAATGATTCGAGGGACGTCGCTCGACTGATTGTCAGTCCGGAGGATGAATTTCGGCGACATCGCTCGCTAGCCGGAAGAGACCGATAGCTAGTCGTTCGATCGAGTCAGTATATCATCAGCTATTCCATCAAATTACGCTCGAGGTATCGATAATAGTTGGAGAGTTGTTGGATCACGGGAGTGTAACGCGGTCTTTGAGTCGATCGTTCGAGTCATTCACATAAAGGTTTGACTTCGACTATTGTCGTTTAAGGAAGCGCAGTCGATTTCGCGGAACCTGCGTGACGTCCAGAATGCTTGCGGCTACTTCAAGGACTGTGTCTCCAAAAACATCCTTGACATGGTGTCCGGAAGTGCTTCGGTTGTACTCGAGACAGTTATACACCTGCTCACCTTACTCAAGAAGAACTTCACCAACGACGATAGGTGAGATATTTCAATAAGGCCCGAGCATGACCGAGATCTCTCGGAGATCGGGAGGCTCTCGGGGCATGAATACAGTCCTCCTGTAACATGGACTTCTATTTCCAGTACGGTGCTACAGTCACGCACGAATAAAGTTCATGCGTGTCTATCGGAACTCCTGGAGTGGTCCGATAATGTGATGTTGCGTCGCGAGGACGCTTGCGTGGAGGGAGCTCAGAGAATACTTTCGTCTCTACAGGAAGCGCTGCAGGCTCTAGTCGATTACTACGATAAAGATAACCTCACCCGAAAGAGACCCAACACAGCTAACGGATTGAGTCATAGCAAGAGCGAATGGTAAATAATTCCAAACGAACTGACGTGGCGGATTCATCAAACCTGCAAGACATACGGCAAATGATTGGCAATGATTGGCAATTATCCCAGGCTAGGCGGGCCCGCTCGATCCGGAAACCGTGTCCCATCGTGGGCTCTCGGCATTCGCTGTGCGAGAGTGAAAAAAAAATCACGGGGGCATGGTAGCAGTCCATCTCTGGGATGAATCGTCCGACAGCGTGACTTTTCGTCGAAGTATGAACACTTGAAAATATTTCAGTGCCAACATTTCCGTGAATTCCCTACCGGACATTCCATTGACTCCACGCGAACGAGAACTCCTCTCCGCTACTCCTGGCCATGGCATGTCGTCGTCGACCGACGATATCCTGACGCCACCTCCGAAGCCCCCCTTGCCATTTTCCTCGTGAGTTGGAGCTGCTCTGAATGTGGCTCGTCGTTTTCTGCTTTGAACGTTCATATAGTGCGGAGGAATTTTCACCTAATAAATATTCTACCCGCACGTCCGCCACGAATAGCCTCCTGATCTGCGGATGGGTTTAGACGTTTCTAGGCTACGTATCTCTCCCGAGCTCATAGCACTGCCCTTCTGTGTATGAGCCGTCTCCACTCTGACCCGATACTAATCCATCCGCAGACTGGACTCAATCGACGCGCCTCCGCTACCGCCAAAGAAACGATCAACCACGAAAGCTTTCCTGGAAGCTCCGTCGTTCTCATCCTCTCTGGGAGACTGGTTGTCTCCGTTGTCGTCACCGTTATCACAGTCGAGGGCATCGAGCGTAGATTGCATCGATCATTCGGAAGACGATATTTGGAATAATAGTTTACCTGGAAGTTTCGCTGAAGCTTCGAACCCGAGTCTGAGCTTTTCGTTCAGCTCCGTCCAAACTACGATGGTCAAGAAGACCTCCACCACAACGAAGATGTGTCGCAGCGACTCGATAGAGCATCTCATATCCCATGAGCTGAACGAAAGCGGAGCCTCGTACTCCACTGTGACCACGGTGCAAAACGGTCAGACGCACACCAAGAAATCCGTCTCTGCTTACAGAAGGTGAGGGAATGAGCCAGCACATGTCGAGCATAATTTTTTCCAGAGGCGAATGCTAAACTGGGAAGTGTCTCTCGCAGGGAAGACCAATTAGAAGACGTTCCCCCGGCCCTACCGGCCAAGCAGCGCCGTCCGCCGGGCGAACGGTTGCCCAGAGTTCCATCCCAATACGATAATGTGCTTCCAATGCTCCCCGCGGAAATAGCTGACGAAATCGTCAGCAAGCTCCAGGATATCGAGTTTCGGGATGAAGTCCCGCCACCCCTCCCGCCAAAACGGAGAACAAGTGAGTTGCGCCGCGATGATTCGGGGAAAGTCTTTAGATTTAATCCGGTCACGTCGAAGACCTGATCATGGACCTCGGCCGATGCTTCACGATCGATTCTCCCGAACGACGAATTGTCCCCGAGGCGGCGGGACTGACACACACTGACGATTCTTACCCTCAATCCACAGTCGAGGCCTACATGCAAACATTTGGTCCGATCCCGTTGCCCTCGGAAGGCTCTTCGCTGGTCGTTCCTGCGGGTAAACACGTAATTTCGCGGGTTGCTCAGCTCACAATGTCGTGGGACGACCCGCCGTCGTCAGAATTCTATGGAGATCAGCCTCCAGCTTTGCCCCCGAAGAGAAGAGAACGCGAAAGGCCGACTGGAACATCGACTCCGGTACCACAGCTCCAGCAGAGTCTTACCATAGAGGAAATTGCGAGCATTCCAAATACCATCCAGACGCCCCTCAACAGTCCTGTAAGTTCGCTCGCTAACCCGTCCGTCCGTCCGCCCGCCCGCCCGGCTGTTCAATCGCGCGAAAATCAATAACAATAGACTACTATCGATCGAGAAATCGACGACTTGTTAAGCTCGGTCGTTCGAATCGGTGACTCGGCGGTATTCTTGGTGCAATCGAAACCCGTCAAAGCTCCCTCAAAACAGTGCTCAGCTCGACGGCTCGCTCTCGCGACCTGCCATCATGGTAATACGATCCTCATTTACCTGAGCCAAATTTCGTTTCGGACGACATTGTTCAATCAGGCGCGACCGGCGAGAAGGTTGCCTGGATTGTCGCAGCCGCCCACGACGGCTCTCAGTCAATTCGACGCTCGGTCGATACGTACGGGAGCGACTTTCGATGCTCGACACGCGCTGGCATCATCGGCGCACAGCTGTTCGACAAACTTTCAAATTCTGCGAGTTGTTGAGCTTCATCGCTTTTCTGCCGAGCGCATGCGCGACGTTCGCGTCCAACTGCTTCTCAATCGCTTTGTGCGCTCAACAGGTGTTGGACTCAACTGAAGCGGTGGAATCGATTCGCGAGGAAGACAGCGGCGTTGTTGACAGCCTACCGGCATCCAAGGAGAACACTCCGCCTTCCAGTATAGCCACTTTGCAGGAATCGATGTCGACCGCTGCCGTCGACATAGTCGAATGCATCGAAGTGGAACCGTTTCTCGTGTTTTCTGACGGCAAAGACGACGTCTTGCGCGGACTCAAAGGCGGTCCCCCGGACGCCCTTCTCGTGTACGCGACCAAGACAACTGACGACAAAGGTCGAGATTTCGTTGTTCAAGAAACCTTCCTCACGACGTATCGATCGTTCATTCCTGCCCAGACTTTGGTCGAGAAGCTCATTGCGAGGTGAGTGGGTCAAGTCGAAGCTTTCTCTGCGATTTTTTCGGAAGCAGTAGGACCTGGGGTTTCGAACACTTATCATGTTTTTTCCAGTTATCAATTATTATAATAAATGTTTTTTCTTCTCAATTTTTCTTCCCATTCTCCTCCTTCTCTTCCAACGAGGGGAAAAATTAAAAAGAAAGAATGGAAAGAGAATATTGATCCATGATTGATATTAATTAATAGAATTAATCAAAAAAGCTTGAAACCACGGGCTCTAAGAAATCAGCGTCGTCGCTCATTGCTCCGTACGATAGGAGACGGTCAAACGGGTTTATTTACCGTTCACAGGTATAACTGCCTGATCCAGTTCAGCACGGACGCGGTGCGTTTGAAGTATGCCCGCAACTCGTTCAGTCTCTTGGTTCGAGTTGTGGACGATCTCTGCCTTTCGGACGCCACCGACGAACTGTTACTCATTCTCACGCGGTTCACCCACCGGTTGTTACAAAGAGGAGACCTTAGTCTGGCAAGGTGAGAGTCTTTTTATTTGCAAACCTTACCACACGTTCATCTTCTCATGTCCACGGATTAGGCTCGCTCGACGGCTCGGGCAGCGAGCGAAATGGGCTGAGACGGAGGCTTGAGATGATGACGACGAAGAACGACGCCTGAGAATGGAGTCCCAGCGCGGATTAGCCGAAAAGTCAGTCGCGCCTCTGGTGTCTCCGCTTCGTGACGGCTGAATTCCTCCGCTAGAAGTTTGATGGATCGCGCTCCGTCGCAAATATCATCTCCGTCAAATTCCGTTCAGATATCCTCACTCACAATCAGTCAGACAAGTACATAACACGTGAATCCTTCCCCTTAGTCATTGCAGGGTGCTGTGAGTACATTCGATTTTTTTTTCGCGGGGAAACATTCGAAGCTATCTGTTTTCGTCTCGGAATCCTCTATTGGGGAAAAGAAAAGAGCTCTCCTTGCCGAGTCGCCATTATTATCGATAGTTTCTGTCTTGCACCGCAAAGCTTCAGCGGAGCCGAATCGGGGCTTCATTCCGATTGTGAAAGGCGATGACGATGTGGCCAACCACTCTCGCGCCGGTACTTGGTTTAGCTCCACAAATCCGCGGTGACTAAGTAAGCCTATCGACTGGGTCGTAGAACCCTTATGTCCCGTGTTATGACATCACGTAGGGGACGTTCTAGGTTATTGTCGCAGTCGATGTGATGCAACCATTTGAATCGGGCATGAATTGCCAGATCATGCATAAGCGATTGAGCGTTCGTTCCCGACGGATAAAGTATGACGAGGGGATTTCTCCTTGCAGAGCTTTACGGCAGAAGGTCGTGGAGAAGCATATGTCTCGTCAACGTGCTCAGGAATGCGTGCTGTACGCGAACCTCAGAAGCGTGTCCCTGTCCCGCGGGAATACGCTGTTGTCGTTCAAGTCAGAAGCGTTGGCGCAGCAAATGACCTTACTTGATAACGAACTGTTTCAAAAAATTGACATACCCGAGGTCCTGATCTGGGCCAAAGAGCAGAAGGAAGAGTTCAGCCCCAACCTCACTCGCTTCACCGAGAGATTCAACAATATGAGCTATTGGGCCAGAAGCTGCGTACTTCAACAGCCCGATCAAAGGGAACGGGAACGTTGCGTGATCAAGTTCCTGAAAATGATGAAGGCCCTCCGTCGGCTGAACAATTTCAACTCCTACTTGGCTCTGCTGTCTGCGTTGGATTCGGCCCCGTTACGAAGACTAGACTGGCAGAGGGCCATAGTCGAGGGGCTGAGGGAGTTCTCCGTTCTTATTGATAGCAGCTCTTCATTCAGAGCCTATCGACAGGCCGTGGCTGAGACTCAGCCACCCTGCATACCCTACATGTAAGATTTGATTTTTCTTCCAAGCCCTTCGTAAAGCCTGACTCCGATCCCGGTCCAGAAACTGTTTTTTGCCGACTCTGTCTTAACGAAATCTCTTTCCATCTCCGGGAAGCGGGAAACGGCGCGACCTAACACCGTATTCCAACATTTCAGTGGTCTGATCCTACAGGATTTGACTTTCGTGCACGTAGGCAACACTGACTACATCGAACACAACGGCGCCCAAATAATCAATTTCTTCAAGTGCTGGCAACAGTATAACATCCTTGAACCGATGCGAAAGTTCAAGAAAAAGTGAGTGCAGCGGATACTGACCCCGAACTGAGAGTGTGAACTCGGCTAATCTCGGCTCAGATCGATCACTCGGAGGGTTTCTGAGCGACCTCCGACGAAGGTTCGAGGATTTTGCCATGAACTCATTTCGGCATGCGTTCCCATTGCAGGCCCTACGTTATACGTCGCAATGATGAAATCATAGATTTCTTCAACAATTTCGAAGACTACCTGTCCGAGGAAGCCATGTGGCAGATCTCGGAGACAATCAAACCACGAGGGAAGAAGTAAGACTATCCAGTGAAACTACAGACTTCAATTGTGAGCCGAATACCGAGAACGGGACATATTCTCTTCATCGGAACTGCCCTCCATGGAACAACGAAAAGTCGATCGCTGTTTTCTATATGCGAGCGGAAATGGGATGAATTTGACTCATCTTGCGCGAGGGGAACGAAGGTGACCGAGTCCGACTGACTGACTGCGTGAGTGTGGAGCACTCAGCTTGAAGAGGTGCTAGAGCAGTGATGCCAGGAAATTTCGCCGCAGGCCAAACGTGAGGTCGGGAACTTCCTGCGGGCAAGCTTTCAAGAGAAAGTCCGTCGTGCAGGGCTGCGTCGTATCCTTTTAGACTGAAGTGATATCTGAGGAAAAACTGTTTGAGCGCTACCAGTAGCGTATATAGGGGGGGGGAGGGGCCAAGGGGACCATGCCCCCCTCAAAACGCCGCCTTCGTACATTGCGGTCTATGAGGATCATCATAATGATTCTGCCCCCCTCCCAGAAACCTTGCTGGCCTCTCCCAAAAAAAATCCTTTATACGCCCCCGAGCGCCACAAGACTACAAGACGTCGCGGTGTCAAAGCTTCGAATTCCGACTTTCTGGAAGCGAGATAGTTCCACAAATCGATCGTGAGTATGGCCTTCGTTGCCTCTGCCGATAGCCTGGATGCGGGGACCCGAATAGCGCATATTTTTCCGTAATCTCGGAATCCATCAAATCTGGCCGAAGAGCGCAAGCTCTCCGTCGGTAGATCAGAGCGGCATAAAATCGGCTCCTTTCGGAACCCTGACAGGCCTAATAGCTCGACAACCAAGCATTTGGCCAGAGTTTAAAGGCCTGCCATCCTCTCTTCGAGAAGTCCGCGAGACACTACAGGCTCTCGAGAAGATAAGGGCCTTCGAGTAGGACACAGCCAGGCTTCTCGCTGTAAATCGTGATATTCTCGGCAAGCTGCGGGACCCGGAGAACTCCTCATCCGGCCATTGGGGTCATTATCGATACATTGATTGAGCCACGATTGTCGATCCATCGATAGGCCAGGGCAAAGATTCCGACGGACAATGCGCGCACCAGAAAGTTCACGAGCTTCTGCTTCAGCTCAGAGCACCCGTCTCCAAAGACGTGGAAAACTCGGGGCTTGCAGAGGCCGACTCTGGAAAAACTCGCGATTGGAGTTCCGCCGACGATTCCGACCCGAGCAACACAACGGTCAGGGTGCTCTTCGTGAATGGAACGGCTTCCTGAGAACAGATAATTTTATCTTCAAACACTCGGCAGCGGTTTCGATCCGGATACACCAAAAGCAATCGGGACCGAGGAAGACTGTCTTGCGAAACACGTTTCTGCAACGACCACGATGGCTCGGCGAGGGATGTACAGCGAAGTTCCTTCAACAACAGTGGATATCGAAAGCGGCTCAATAGACAAGGCTCCTTGAATTCCAGAGCAGCGTCGGACAGCGATCCCCGAGGAAGACCTTCCGAACTCGCTTGCCCAAACTCTATGTGCAGTTAGCCGTGCAATTTTACTCCTATGTGCTTCTTTCACCGATGTACCATGCGGAGCGTCTACATAGACACGCTATCACGACTGCGCGCGAAGACCGACTTTCGGGCGAACCTTCGTGCGGCATCTTATACAGCGAAATCACCTGTTCAAGGATATCAACCTCCACCAAAGAAATGCCACCAAAATGCATATGCCCCGAGACCTGGCCGTCAAAGGGCTGGGAATATATATTCGGCGTTTCCGACCTGAATGCTTCTAGGAAAAATTAGGCATAGATCCCGCTTGGCGGAAGTTTCTGGAAATAACGGAGCAACTTCCTCAGACAGGGCGCCAGACGCGCCGATCGACGTAAGATGGATTATTCGATTAGGCTATTTGTATTCGCTACGCCTGATTTTAGCCAGGATCACATTCATGCTGTTCGCTCAGAAATATGGAGTGAATGGAGCCGATGAAAATAATTCGATGATATATTTATGACTTTTATTGTATAATTCAATCGAACATCGACAGTAATATATATATACTATATATATTTATATATCCAGAGTTTCCCCGACTGAATAAGAGTCCACTTACGATCCAGAACCCAACACAGGGTCGGCCCGCAAGCTGGATCATCCGAATGATAAAAATGAATACTCGCTTTTGCGTTCGGGGCCGATCGGACAGCTCCCATCGGGGTAATCCACGATCCGAACGTATTTGTTCTGATAGATGTTTGATGTTTCTGCCTTTGCTTTTAGCTTCGTCAACTTCTAAGTTTGTGCGTTCGTTTGTAAGGGAATCCATTCTTCGGCCCATGGTAGAAGAGCCACCTCGTTGAAAGAGTCGATTTTTGTCTACACGCGATTATTGATTGATGAGAGAGCTGGAAGCTTCCTTGGAGTATGACTACGAACGACTCGACTCGAAACGAGTTCGCGAATCGGGGAAGGTCGGAGAGAATACCAGAAAACGGAGGGGGGGGAAGCAGATGTTGTACTTAATTTGATCAGCGATGTATCAAAGTAGACGATTGTCTCTGTATGTTCATGTACATACTCGATGTCGGGATGAATAATAAATTGTGAGTTGAATAAAAGAAGATGGGTACTTCTTTTTCTTGGAACTGTTCTAAATACGCTGAGATTCGATGGATTATCCGAACTTCCCTCGCTTACCCATCGGTGGAATCAAGAAGCATTCAGGTTCATTTTGATCCATGTTTCGATGACATAATCCTCTACACGAGGAGCGTCGTACTTCGTCGGGAAGACTTCTGCTCCTGACGGCAATCCCTCGGAGGCAGAAGAATAAACCGCCCAAGAGCATGCACGTTGTACAATCACATAGACGCATACGGAGGGAGTCGAACGATCGATGATCAACGACCCATTCCATGATGATTTCGTGACGAATCAGAACGTGGAAATCCGGCCTATTCATATTCGGGCTAGCTCGTCTATCCGAAAGTGCACGGTGTCTATCCCCATGCGGGAAACGAAAACTTTCAGCGACCTTATTGAGTGTCCGAGGACGCCTCGTAGCGAACTCGGGCCTGTAGCCCGCTTCCTTGACGTACGAACCTCAACAGAACGCATCATGAAACGCTAGGGCGTGCCATGCTGAGGAATCTCGAAGAGATTTCTGTTCCTACTCGTTGAGCGCTCTCAAATTAATTGCAGTACTCATCTCGTTAGCGAGAGGAGGATTTTGCCCAGCAGAAATCTGAAGCCAGCGGCTCGGGAGGGAGACAGACCGCGGAGTCGAGGGAAGAACTTCCCAATCCGGATAATTGGCAGTGTATCAAGCAAACGAACGGCATCCGTGCACGTACAGAGACAAAGCGGCCGACAGACGGACGTACTTGCTCCGATCGAGGCAAAAGGTTCTTTCATTGAGTCACGTAATGCGGTCTGATTTCCCGACCAACTTCCCCATGGCCTGTGCGATCAGGTTGGACGGAACGTGAGCTCCGCAATCCCTTTTCTCGATGTTCGCAGGTGCGAAGGACTCGATGAAGTGGAGAACTCCAAAATCCGCATTTGACGAGGCATTCCAATCTCTTCCGAGCTGAGGCGTTTCAACTCCGCCAGGGAGCCGGAGTCTGAGAGCCGGGATATCAGTATGGCATCGCTCCTGCTCAACAGTAAATTTCGCCGGTAGCCGGCATCGGACTTCATCGACGCCGACGGAGAGATCCCTTGGAACCAAAACGGCGGCGACCATTCCTCGCAGAGGCGCTTTCCTCCCATGAAGCGAGCTCGGTGAGCGAGTAAGTGGATTCTCGTGGGCTAGTTCACCTCAGGCTCAATGGGTGCGGGACGCCGTGAGCTCTTGGCCATCTCTCCGGCGAGTGAGAAATCCAACCGGAAGAGCCCGGTGCTCGACGAGTCCAGGCAATCGCTCCGAGGACGAAAGCTCCAGGCCGCGACTTCCACTCGCAACGCTGTCCCCAATCCTTGGAGCTCGATGACTACCGAGAGTCGCTTCCGAACAGTTCCATGATGATGATGATTGATGATGATTTGATTGAGAGTTTTCGCGCCCAGTCCCGAGTCGAGATGGAAAAATTCATGAATCAGGAGCAATCCAATGAATATCACTCCGAAACGCGACCGAGGTAATATGAAACTCAGGTTGTCAGTAGGGGAGAGGAGGCCAGGGTCCGCTTCCCTTCTGAGCACGCCACCGGTGGAGGCTACTGCTCGTCGAGAATCCGACAGGTCCTTCCTTCCTCTGAGCCTCGCGAGCTCGCAGCATGGAAAGCGATCTGAGAGCCCCGAAACAAGATGTGCGACCAGCCGCGGCTACCGATCTTCCCGGGCGGCACCTAATTAAAAAGTTGAACTTCTGAGCCTCATAATTGAAGAAGTTTCAGCCTCAACTCAAGTAGGTCCGCGGAATTCCTAAACGAGCGTTCGCGCCTCGAGTGAGAAAGGCTATCCGAGCATATAAGACGCATTAGAAGTTCAGGTAGTCCGCCAATCATGGAATGCTCGTTGTTACGCCGCTGCCAAGCTGCAAAGGCCGCAACAGTTCCGGAGCCGTCCCTTGGCGCCAGCGTTTAGTCAAGCATCTGAATTCCTACATACGCGGAAAGCCGTGTCAGCACAGATGAGTTCATCAGGTGCGAGGGAATGGGAGGCGACTGGATCGCATCAACGCGAATGCACAGCTGCTACCGCGATGGCAGTGAACGAGAAGCTCGTCTAGGAGGCCAGCGAAGAAGTCTGCAGACATTCTTGGTGGTTCGAGGCGGGAATATCCGAGAGAGAGACAAACGAATGGAGCCCCTCGATGCATTTGAACTGAACTTGAACTTCCTCCGATTTTCCTCAGGCCCTCAAATCTATGCCCGTACGAAGCATCATCTGTTCCGTAGTCTAATTCGGAAGAGCAATACCCCGTACTCAAATAGGGCACACAAGGGGATGCACTTCTCTTACAGGCAAGCTGGTGTCCGCAAGAGAGTCTCCCACCACGGATCTTGATCTGATTGACCGTCAACTTCTCA